AAGAAACGTAGCCCCCCCCGGGAGGACACAGCAGGGACATGTCAGCCTCCCACCAGCAAAACGTGTCCCCCAGACCCAGCGGGAAGCACAGCACCACGGCAGCAGGTACCCAGGCAGTGCCATTTCTCTCTTTATTTATTATTTTAAAGCCAAATATTAAACAGGAAAGAAATCACATCATTTCCAGCCTCCACCTGTCCCAGATCCAATACAATATCTGTTTAAAAAAAATAAAAATAAAAATAAAGAGAAACCAGCCCCGGCGGGAAGCACAGCACCACGGCAGCAGGTACCCAGGCAGTGCCATTTCTTTCTTTCTTTATTTTTTTTAAAGCCAAATATTAAACAGGAAAGGAATCAAATCGTTTCCACCCTCCACCTGTCCCAGATCCAATCAAATTTCTGTTTATTTTTTTTTTAAAGATGTCCCCCATCCTGCAATCTCAGCTGTCAGGGTGATGCTAGGGCTCAGGGGTCCTCACCCTTGGGGCCCAGGACAGACAAATTTTCATCTACTGCAGCTTTTTGTCCCTTCCAGGCATCCCCAGGACACACACACCCCACTCTGTCCTTGCTCACCCAGCCGGTCCCCGTGTCTTCGTGGGAGGGAAGGGCCACCAACCAGGCAGGTAAGGCCCACAGAGCTGTGACATCCCTTGGAGATGCTCAAAACTAGGCAGGAAAACACCCTGAGCAAGAAGGTGTGCATGCAACGGTGGCCTGGAAGGGACCAGAAGACCCTTGGGGACCCTCCTCCATCCCAAAGGGGTCCCTTCCTCCCCTCGCCCTCCGGCACCGGGTGGCAGAGCCCCAGAGGACACATGGGGGGCTGGTGCCCAGGGCTTTGGTGCCTCTGCTGTTCCTGTAGGGGTTGGTGACAAACTGTCACGGTCCATCCCCCGGCCGCCGCCGCCGCCGCCGCTTATAAGGGCGGGCGCGGAGCGGGGGAGGGAGGCGGCGGCGGCGACGACGCGGCTCCCCCGGGTCCCTGAGCTCCCCGCCGCCGCCGCGCCGTCCTTAGGCTCCAGAGTGAACAGCCCCGCCAGCGGGATGGGGCGGACGGGACCGGGGATGGCTCCCCCGGTGCTGGTGGTGCTTGAAGCCACCCTGGGCACTGCGTGGGCCCAGAAGGGCAAGGAGAAGCCCCCCCGTGTCCCCATGTCCCCCACCACCACCCAGCCTGGGGTCTCCCTGGGGGATGCCCAGGAGAAGCAAGGACCCCACCTCCCCCAGGAGCCCTGTGGCTTCCCCCATCCCAGAGAGAAAACTCTGGGGGATAAAAAAGGGGTGGCAGCAACCCAAGGTCCCCCCCCCAAAAAGAAACGTAGCCCCCCCCGGGGGGACACAGCAGGGACACACCAGCCCCCCACCAGCAAAACGTGTCCCCCAGCCCCGGCGGGAAGCACAGCACCACGGCAGCAGGTACCCAGGCAGTGCCATTTCTTTCTTTCTTTATTTTTTTTAAAGCCAAATATTAAACAGGAAAGGAATCAAATCGTTTCCACCCTCCACCTGTCCCAGATCCAATCAAATTTCTGTTTATTTTTTTTTTAAAGATGTCCCCCATCCTGCAATCTCAGCTGTCAGGGTGATGCTAGGGCTCAGGGGTCCTCACCCTTGGGGCCCAGGACAGACAAATTTTCATCTACTGCAGCTTTTTGTCCCTTCCAGGCATCCCCAGGACACACACACCCCACTCTGTCCTTGCTCACCCAGCCGGTCCCCGTGTCTTCGTGGGAGGGAAGGGCCACCAACCAGGCAGGTAGGGCCCACGGAGCTGTGACATCCCTTGGAGATGCTCGAAACTAGGCAGGACAACACCCTGAGCAACCAGGTGTGCATGCAACGGTGGCCTGGATGGGACCAGAAGACCCTTGGGGACCCTCCTCCAGCCCAAAGGGGTCCCTTCCTCCCCTCGCCCTCCAGCACCGTGTGCCCCAGAGGACTTAGCTCTGTGGCCCAAGGCAGGGCTGGCTGGTGCCCAGGGCTTTGGTGCCTCTCTTGTTCCTGTAGGGGTTGGTGACAAACTGTCACGGTCCATCCCCAAGGCCACAGGCCATGCCCTGGGCTCTGGGGGCTGTCAGGCCGCCCTGCAGTGTCCCCTCTCTGGGTCCAGAGGGGTTGGAAGACATCCCAAGGGGGTGCTGCACCATCAGCTGTTCCCTCCCCACCCCAGGGAGCACCCCTTTGCTGGTGGGGGGACCACGAGCAACTCTTCAGCCTCTCCAGAGCAGCAGCACATCAAGGCACGGTCCTGCAAGGGAGGACAAACCTCCCCGAGGAGGCTGCTGCTTGGAGGAGTCTCCCCCAGCTTTGGGAAGGCGACTTTACAACCCACCTGAGCCCCCAAACCCAGCAGCACCCCTCAAATCCTCCTGCTCAGCCCCCCCTGCCCTTTCCACAACCATCCAGGCAGCAAGGACCACTTCTTCCTGCCCCCTCCCAGTCTCAGCTTCCCCCCAGGCTCCATATTTTTTCTCCTTCACCCTCCAGAAAGGCATTTGAAGGTGACACCATCCTGGATGTCCAGTCAACAGGACTCTGCCCCCAGGGGACTCGGAACCAGAGGACTTTGGTAGCTCCAGCCCACCCAGGAGAGCCCCTCTGCTCGGTGGGATGGTGGGTGGGCAAAGCCAGGCAAGAGAAGAAGGGGGGCAATTCCACCTTCTCCAGAAAGAAAAACCCATCCCTTCTCCCTGCACAGACACGACAGGACAAATTTGGATATATGTGCACATCATCTTTAACGTATGGACATTCACACAGACCTGGACATTATTCACGGACACAAGGAATGTTTGGGATCCATTGGTGTCTCCTTGGGGAAATGGTGGCTGCAAAGGTGCCCGTGCTGCCAGGAAGGGCTGAAGGGACAGAAGAGCAAAAGACCTCACAAAAAGTGACCTCCATCAACCCAAAGAGGGGTTTCCCAGCGCTGCTGGACCTGGGGACTGATGCACATCTCAAGAGGTTGCTCAAGCAGGGACAGAGAGGTGTCCTTGGGGGGTCTCAGTTCTCCTGGGGGCTTGGGCTGAGGTCTCCCACAGCCACAGTTGGGAATTCCTCCTCCCTAAGACCCAAGATTCGACCCATGGCATTGACAGAACCTGCCCCACAGCCAGCAGCAGGACACGGCACATGGCTGTCACACCTCACCAAACAGGATAGAAAGGGGGAGCTTTTACATACTATTTCCTTTGGTTTTGTCCCAAAAGCGGACTGATGTCCTATTGAAGCACCCCCAGTCTCTTCCGAATTTGGCACGTACAAGGCTGTGTCGGTGCCCCTGGGTGACACCAACCCCCACATAACCATGCACTGGCGTGGGCTGCACAGCAAAGGAGACAGAGAAACCTGCCCCAAGGACAGTTTCTCTGTGAATGTTTGCCAAAGGGATGAGAGGGTTTGGGTCCCGGGCTGGCTGGGCTGCCCCGTGTCCCCCGCAGTGTGTCTGTCCCCTCTTGCACCCCACGCAAAAAGGGAAATGGTTACGAGTCCATGGGTGGGGGAAGCGCGTGTGAACCGCAGCTCCCACGCTTCCTCCTTGGCCGGGCTCTTTTCAGAGTGCAAACACGGGGTGGCCTCACAAGGAGGGGTGTGATGGGCTCTGCTGGCCACTCTGGGACCTCATCTTAAAGTACTCAGCATCTTCTCAAGGGGGTTTGATACGCATCACCCAGCACCAGTTTCCACAGAAACTGTGGGCAGCTTTCTGTTGACTCCTGGGGCTTTTTTATGGCACAATTCTACCTGGCAGCACCTCCAGCCAAGGACTCCTACGAGCTGGCTGTGTGGCAATTCTCTCCATGCACTCCAGAGCTGCAAGGTGCCAAGAGCTTGCCCGTTTGGCAGAGGGGAGCACAAAGCCCCAGGAGACTCAGGGCCAGCCATGCAGTCACAGAACCAGCTGGGAATGGGGAGTCCAGGCCCTGCTTCTGCTTGCCCCTTCTCAGCTACCAGCATCCACCTTGTGACTTAACAGTCCCATTCCTGACCTTCCCAGAATATTTTGGGATTTGCTTTCAACCCTCAAAGAGGGCTGGAAGGTTGGGGTCTACTCCAACCCTCCAAAACAAGAGATGGATTTTGAGATCTTTGTCCGATGATTCCCTACCCTGCTTTCAGCTGGATCCACTCTGCTTCCATAGAAATTCTTCAGTCTCACCCTCCCTCCAGCTTCACTTCAGTACAGACAGTTCTCCTGGGAGCACAGCACCCTGACCTCAGCACCAACCACGTTCTTCCTCAAGCACCCAGCTCCTGCAGACCCACCACCACTCCGCTGGCAACAGCGCTGGGCTTTCAGGATTTATTTCTCATATTAAAATCAGTGCTCAGTTATTTCAGCAGGACAGCATGCAGTTCAAGCATTCTTTGAAGAGGAGGGCTGTGTGATTTCAGGTGGCCATACCTGAAGTGCTAGAATAGACTAAGAGCATCCACCTAAGGCTACAGGGCACGGGGTCTAACGCTCATCTCTGATGTAACTACTGTATTGCAAGGGGACAGTGACAGGAAACTATCTGCATCTCTAGGGGTGTTGCTTCAGAAACCACACAGATATGCAGGCTCTGTATATGCACACACACCGTGCACTCTGCATCCCATAATACCTGAACCCAGAGGAAAACCTTTTCCACAGGTTTCCAGGCCTTTAAGATGTGTTGAAATTCATGTGTCTTGAGCTGCTAAAGCTCTTCCCTTCCGGGCAGCGTAGCACGTGCTCCCCCCAAATCTGTTCTCTTTTGGCAAAAAGGAAGGAGGCCTCGGGCTGCAGGAATTAACATCTCTATTCCATACAGAGATGACCTGGCTGACTCTGGGCTCGGCCAGTTTCCAGTCATGATCCCGCTGTATTGCATAAATACCTATAGATTGGAGACAGCAGTGAGTGGGAGCTCCCCAAACATCCAAGTCATTCGGGTGCTGACCTCAAGGCTTCCACGAAAAGGTGCCACGAGGTTCAGAATCGTCCTGGGAGCACTCACGGCTCTGCCACAGCTCCGGCCTTGGACATAAGTGAAGAAAAGACCAAAAAACGAGGTAAAAACATGGACTGGGTGTGTTTAGCAGGCATGAAAAAGGGCTAGAAGCTCATCTTCTGCATCAGGAGAGTTTGCATCATCAGCGAGGTGGCCAACTGGACTTCAGTGTAACCAATGCGCTTGCCACCCCTGGAAGGGGTTTGTGCTGGGGCTCTTTCCCAGGCCCGTAAGGATATTTGGAATTGGAATCGTGGCTCTGTGAACAATCAGACTACGGAGGTGAAGCAAAATCTGACCAAAAATTCAGACCGAAGAAGACAACAGTGAAAGGTAAGAGACTTTAAAAACTATCACCTGCATGAGATATACATTAGAAAAAAAAAACACCACCAAACCAAAACAATCCCATAACCAAACAAAAACCCCACAACACTGCAAGGACAAGCAACTTCCTTCTCTGGAAGAGGGGCTCCTTCCATATTCCACACCGGGGATCTCACTGTGTGGACCTTCTAAGCAAAGACAATCATGGAACGAGCAGAATGCGCAAATCCTTCCAAAGGACAACGCGCTTCCTGGCACGACCGTCCCTGCCAGATCCTTACACTTGGCCTCAACTACCAAGGTGTCCCTGTGCCTTCGGGCCAGAACGGGCAGACAGGCAACGGAAAGATGCTATAGCACCAGTTACAAAGTTCAATGCAGTTTCCAATGCATTAAGCCAAAGGATTGTCACCAAACTTGCCTTCCCTGCAAGTTTTGCAAAGAGGGTAAAAAGCTACACTCCAGCTGCTTCCGTCCTCACGCTGCCTTCTGCTCTCACTCCTTGCCTGAACTGTAGATCTTCTGAACTGTGGCACGGGTGAGCTCCAGATCCTCCGGGTACCGAATTTCTAGCTCGGTATTTGCTAAGTAGTGAATGCCGGTAAACTCCGAAAAATAGCGGCCGATGTCAGGGTGAGGGATCTCCCGAGGCTCAGAGTTATATTCCAGGTTCTCTGTTAGGAAAAAGGAAAGACTCGGTTATCACCACATGAAACAGCCTGCCACGAGGCAGTAAATCCTACGCGCCTCTCTCAAGTCTTGTTTAGAATCATAGAATCATTGAGGTTGGAAGAGACCCTTGGGATCATCGAGTCCAACCATCTCCCCTACTCTACAAAGTCCTCCCCTACACCATGTCCCTCAGCACTGCATCTAAACGGCCCTTAAACACAGCCAGGGATGATGGTGACTCAACCCCCTCCCTGGGCAGCCTGTTCCAATGCCCAACCACTCTTTCGGTGAAAAATTCCTTCCTAATGTTCAATCTAAACCTCCCCTGTTGGAGCTTGAAGCCGTTCCCTCTCGTTCTATTGTTAATTACCTGTGAGAAGAGACCAGCACCAACCTCTCTACAGTGTCCTTTCAAGTAGTTGTAGAGAGTGATGAGGTCTCCCCTCAGCCTCCTCTTCCTCACACTAAACAGCCCCAGCTCCTTCAGCCGCTCTTCATATGATTTGTCTTCCAGGCCCTTCACTAGTTTCGTTGCCCTCCTCTGCACTCGCTCCAGCACCTCCAGATCTCTCTTGTATTGAGGTGCCCAAAACTGGACACAACACTCGAGGTGTGGCCTCACCAGTGCTGAGTACAGGGGCACAATCACCTCCCTACTTCTGCTGGTCACACTATTTTTGATACAAGCCAGGATGCCATTGGCTTTCTTGCCCCCCTGGGCACACGCCGGCTCATATTCAGCCGTTTGTCAACTCGAACCCCCAGGTCTCTTTCCTCCAGGCAGCTCCAGCCACACTTCCCCCAGCCTGTAGCGCTGCAGGGGGTTGGTGTGGCCCAAGTGCAGGACCTGGCACTTGCCCTTGTTGAAACTCATGCCATTGGTATTGGCCCAGTGATCCAATCTATCTAGGTCCCTCTGTAGGGCTTCCCTATCCTCCTGGGAGTCAACACTCCTGCTTAACTTGGTATCATCTGCAAACTTGCTGATGATACACCCTATGTATCATCAGCAAGTTTGCAGATGATACCAAGTTTGTGTGTCTAGAAACACCACCTCCTGAGGCTTTAAAGAAAAAACACCCCTAATCCAGGAAAATGTGCACAGAGCTGACCCCGTTTCCTAGTGGCACAAAAACTATTTCATGCCTGATACCACTCTGTCTGACATGAGGTCGGAGTAGCAGGACACTGACCCGCTCCCACTCTGCTGCTCACAGGTCTGGGTTGTGAGGGCAGGGAGAAGCTGCGGCACCGAGCTCTGATCCCTTCAATCCCGTGGGAGAGCAGTTTCTAGGAGAGATCCTGCTCCAAGGCTCCGAGGTGAGGCTTGGAGCCTCAAGGCACAAGGTTGTCCTGGTAGAGGAGCCGAGCGCTAACTTGTTCCAAGTCACCAGCCTGTGTTTCAACCACCTCGAGTCACCAGCCTGGATGTTCATGCACGTCTCATGCCGCAGAATCAACTTTTCTCAATCCAAACTTCCCAAAAGTTATGAGGAATCATAGAATCATAGAATTGCCCAGGCCGGAAGGGACCTCCAAAGGCCATCTAGTCCAACCCCCCCGCAGTCAGCAGGGACACCCCCAACTAGACCAGGTTGCCCAGGGCCTCGTCGAGCCTCTCCTTGAACATCTCCAGGGATGGGGCCTCAACCACCTCCCTGGGCAACCTGTTCCAGTGCTCCACCACCCTCACAGTGAAGAACCCTCTCCTCATCTCCAGTCTAAATCTGTTCCCCTCCAGCTTGAAGCCATTGCCCCTCGTCCTGTCACTGCAGGCCTTTCTAAACAGGCTCTCCCCAGCCTTCCTGTAGGCCCCCTTCAGGTACTGGAAGGCTGCTATTAGGTCTCCCCGGAGCCTCCTCTTCTCCAGGCTGAACAACCCCAGCTCCCTCAGCCTGTCCTCGTAGCAGAGGTGCTCCATCCCCCTGATCATCCTTGTGGCCCTCCTCTGGACCCTCTCCATCAGGTCCATGTCCTTCTTATATTGAGGGCTCCAGACCTGCACACAATATTCCAGGTGAGGTCTCACCAGAGCAGAGTAAAATGGCAGAATCACCTCTCTCGACCTGCTGGCAACGCTTCTTTTGATGCAGCCCAGGATGGGATTGGCCTTCTGGGCTGCAGCTGCCCACTGCCTGCTCATGTCCAGCTTCTCATCCAGGAAGTCCCTAAGAAGAGCACATCGATTCTTTCCCAGAGCACCCCGTTTCCCCCCTGGTGCTAAAGATCACCTGATTAGGCACAACAGTCCAACACCACAGAAGTTAAAACGCAGAGGCGACCCCAGCTGAGGGCCCCTGTGCTCCTGCAGCGTGACCAGGAGACAGCCCAGCAGTAAATCACATGCACAAGAACCCTGCAGCACTCCCCAGACAATGTCATTTTTTCCTGCACGGCGCCAAATATAAAGGTAAAAACAAAAGCTGCCCAACTCCCAAAGCCTGACTTCCCTACAAGGCAAGGTAGAAACAAGATGGGACGCAGAGAACATCATTCAGGAATAATTCATCCGTCTCTGAAACTATCCAGCTCGCTACAGAGAGCACACAGAAGTCGTATTAATCCACACAGGCTCTTTGAAGCTACTGCACGTCAGTGTGTGCAGCCAAAAAGCACAAGACTCAGTGGGCTGGTGCAGTCCTACGGGCTTGCAAAGTACCTTTTTCATACACTGCACCACTGCAGAAAACAATTTACACTCCAGTATGCTCTGCAGGAGCATGGCTGAGCAGTGAGGGAAAAACACAGCGACGAAACAGGAGCTGGCAAGGGAGAAGAGATGGGGACGAGTGAGTTTGGCACTAGGTGGGAGCCTGAGAAACGTGCTGACGAGCAGTTTTGAGCCACAGATACCTGGGCTGTGCTGCCACGGAGCAAACAAAAGACAGACAAGAGCAGACAAGTAGATGGATACCAAATTCACCCTATGAAACAGGAGTTTTGCAATTAGCTACAGCTCAACCTGTCAAGTCACAGGAAGGACTCAAACTGAGGTACCTACAAGCTTGGTGTTACTTCTGAGCAGGTTCGATAAAAATCTGCACACAGATTTGTCTCAGATTCTTTCAGTAAAAAGCTATCACAGAATCATAGGATGGTTTGGGTTGGAAGGGACCTTAAAGCCCACCCAGTGCCACCCCCTGCCCTGGGCAGGGACACCTCCCACCACACCAGGTTGCTCCAAGCCCCCTCCAACCTGCCCTTGAACCCCTCCAGGGATGGGGCAGCCACAGCTTCTCGGGGCAACCTGGGCCAGGCTCTCACCACCCTCACACCAAACAAGTTCTTCCCCACAGCTCAGCTCCATCTCCCCTCTTGCAGGGTCAAACCCTTCCCCCTCCTCCTGTGGCTCCCCTCCCTCATCCAGAGTCCCTCCCCAGCTTTCCTGGAGCCCCTTGAGGGACTGGAAGGGGCTCCAAGGTCTCCCCGGAGCCTTCTCTTCTCCAGGCTGAACCCCCCCAACTCTCTCAGCCCCCCCTCCCAGCAGAGGGGCTCCAGCCCTCCCAGCATCTCCGGGGCCTCCTCTGGCCCCGCTCCAACAGCTCCATGTCCTTCTGCTGGTGGTGGCCCCAGAGCTGGAGGCAGCACTGGGGGGTGTCTCCCCAGAGCGGAGCAGAGGGGCAGAATCCCCCCCTGGCCCTGCTGGCCACGCTGCTGGGGATGCAGCCCAGGGGTGGGGGGTTTCTGGGCTCCCAGCGCACGTTGAGGGGCGTGTGGAGCTTCTCACCCACCAGCACCCCAAGTCCTTCTCCTCAGGGCTGCTCTCAATCCATTCTCCTGTCATCCCCTCCCCAAACATCAGGTCAGTAAGTTATGAAATTGTCCCTCCCCAAATGATCTGAGGATGCATTTCAGAGGGGACACTCGACAGTCAGGCAGCAAGATTTCAGTGAGCAAGGACAAACCCTTCTATTTTCCCTCGCAATAGTAAAGCACTTGGATGCTACAGAGATGACAGTGTCAACCTACAGCTTGGCTAAAATACTCAGTGCTCTGGAACCAGCCAGCATTATACTTGTTTAGAAACAGTTAGACAAAAGATGTAAGAGATGACTCAGACCCAGAAGCTCTGTGGACAATTATCCGATTAGTTTTCACTGAGATACATATTTTAATATCAATCCATGGCACACAAAATTTTTTGTTTTTTTTAAAAATTCTCTAAGAGGCCAAGTACTGCCTAATAAGAGTCCTAAGGCTGAGCTGAAATATTCCTGGTCCCCACTTCATCTTTTTGGACTACTAAAGTAACTCTCAGGACAGTGAGAAACACCTGCACTTTAAACCTGCACAGGTAGGAGTGCCCAGTCCAGTAAAACCACCTCTTGCTCACAGGCACGGAGCAGAACACGCTTGGGAGCACCCTCTAGTGAAAGAGCTGAACTGCATTTTGTAAATATATTTTCCCCTCCGGCAGCTTCCACGTCGTGTCTCAGCAAAGTCAGGCTGTGCAGCCACCCCAGCTGGATGGGATGTCTCTGTATCACGGGGAGAACAACAAACAGGAGGCAAAGAAATACTCTGTTTAAGATGTACAGAGTTACAGATATGTATGAGTAGGGTTTTTTTTTTTCCCTTTTGAACCTCAGTTCAATATTCCTTGTACCCCAACCTCATATTCTGACATCAGACAAGAATTTCCTTTCCTAGGCGATGGGTGATAGAGATTCCACAAATGCAAAGAGGTTTAGAAGAGGTGTTCAATTTTGTCCTATTCATATCAGAGGTGGCACTACCTGTGTTCTCTGGGATCTTGGCACACACAGTCTCTCCATGAAAGACACACACTGACAAGCAAAGTCTGTTCTCTCTCACCAGACCCTATTTTGAGGTCCTGCCCAAAGCACAGCTGTAATTTCAAAGGATGAGAACTGCTGACAGAACTTCAGACTTCAGCAAAAGCTGAATTACCTCTTTTAAAAGCAAACGTCAAGGCTGACACCATAAAGCAAGTCACATCCAAACCCACATTTCTAAGGCAAAAGGAGATGACACCAGAGTGGTCCTTACTGTTCAGTCCCAGCAGTGCTCATTTCACAGAGAGCAAACAATGCAGGCCATGAATTCAAGATCACTCTCCTTCCTACCTCAACCTTAACTAACAGTTTGTTTCATACTTAAAAGAGCTAATCATTTAAGCATCTCTTTCTCCTAACGTACCTCGAAACAGACAGCAAACACAAGAGAGTCCTGCTCACCTTGAGCAGCATATCTGCAAGAGCCATCTTCCACTAGGACGTTGTAGAAAGGCTGGTGGGGGCCATGTGGAAGGCTGTGGACGTTCATATTCCGAATCCATTCATGCCCCATCATGCAGGCAGGATCCCAGCCATAAATCACACAGTTATAGCCATATCTAATTAAAAAAAATAAAAATGCACACCAAGAACTGTGAAAACTCCAGAGCCAGCTCTTCTTCCTCAAGATTAATATAGCACAAACAGGATAGGAGCCTCCTGTGAGTTGGCACAAGGAGGAGAGGACAAGAGGGGGGAAAAAAAAAAGAATTCAAAAAGATTATATGCGTATGTGAGTGTATTTTGAGGTGGGGGGAAATGAGCAGGAGTGACAGGATAAACAAATAGCTGAGGACAAAGGAAAACCAAATGTGAGCAAGAAATGAAAATGGGAAAGAGACTGGAAGTCAGCAACCAGGAGAACAGGAAACAAGAAACGGGGAGAGAATAAACCATCCTACTGTTTTGTGCAATTACTTCCATCACACAGACGGGGCAATCCCAATATAGAACTCCCCAAAACAAAGCCATCCTTATTTTCACATTATTTATGGATTAATTGCGAGGTTTAACTCTCACTGCTGACACCCTTAAAATACACTCCAGATGTCTTGTTGAGTTGGAGGAGTGGCTGAAGCAAAGCAGTGCTGGCACATCATTGTGGCAGAGCAGCCCAGGCAGGAACACAAAGCCTCTGTGCAACGCAGGAAAAGAATCTGAGAGTCTTTTTTGAAGTTCATTCTGTTCCACAGTCCCTCATTAACTGATTACTGCTGTTTCTTCGAGAGCTCTGGACTGTGGAAATTTTCGCTGTGCGATACACGATGACTCAGACAAGTCACCTCACAAGCTTCTCTCTGCAACAGCAGCGAAGACACCCGCTCTCTCAAAGGACAGACAGGGCTGCCCCCATTTTTCTACGAGGTACACGGTGTAGATGTACGTGCCTGGCATTTTCCATTCCAGGTACCTCCTCGGCGGATAAACCCACGTCTCATTACTGTCAGAACAAAATACTCCTGCACTCGTCATTACAGAACAGCCTGCTCATGTGGGGAGGGCTTTTGAAGAGCTCACCTTTTGTGTTTCATAATGAGGCCGATGGAGAAGCAGACCTCCTTGTGCTTCTCATCCGAGCGGTGCTTCACCTCCGGCCCCACCTCCTCCTTCCGCCGCTCGATGTGCTCCAGGGTGTGTTGAACCAAGTACCCCACGGCCCCGTGCTGCGAGGGGTCCAAAGCCTGAATGTGCTGCAAGATGTCCAGAACCTTCAGCAACCAAAACAGAAAGACAGATTCAGAACAAGTCTCTACAGCAGTCCCAACGCTTACAAACACGTACAGACACATTTCTCAAGTCAGCTGGTCTAAGTGCCCAGGCCTAGGTCTGCCACAGTTTTCCACACAGATTGAGAACTTCTGCTCTCTCCCAAAAAGTTCTTCACACTTGTTTAGCCTGCAGAAATTGCAGAGTCCTCTCCTTTTCTATCTGCAGAGCTCCCCGCTTCCAAGGAAGGGCACTGTTGAGCACAGTAACTCCATGAAGCTCAGTCACACAAGGTAGTCGTGTTGCATTTTGTGACCACAGGGCATTGACAAGCCCATTTGGAGGTTTCTTGAAATGTCTGGAGAATAAGTCTTATGAGGAGAGGCTGAGGGAGCTGGGGTTATTCAGCCTGGAGAAGAGGAGGCTGAGGGGAGACCTTATTGCTCTCTCCAACTCCCTGAAAGGAGGGTGTAGAGAGGTGGGGGTCGGTCTCTTCTCTCAAGTCACAGGTGACAGGACAAGAGGAAATGGCCTCAAGTTGCACCAGGGGAGGTTCAGGCTGGATATTAGGAAAAATTTTTTCACTGAAAGGGTTCTCAGCCCTTGGAATGGGCTGCCCAGGGAGGTGGTTGAGGCCCCATCCCTGGAGGTGTTCAAAAGACGGGTTGATGTAGTGCTGGGAGGTCTGGTTTAGTGATGATGCTCCTTGTTTGTTGTGTGGGTGTCTATTTTTGTCAGTCAGGTTGACGGTTGGACAAGATGATCTTTAAGGTCCCTTCCAACCTAGAAGATTCTGTGATTCTGTTAAGAGAATATGGTTGTTCGCCTCCCAGACTGCTACTGGGAAGTGATTCCAGATGACTTCTCTGCACTTCAGAACAAACATTTTAATTTAAATGAGTTCCTCAGCATGTCTGTGGGAGCCTGGCAGAGGGAAAAGTAGGGCAGCACAGAAGGAAATGCAAATACCCTGTGTGATGTTACTAGTGAAGGAGAGGCAGGGAACCTGCTTGTCTCAGGATGACTAAAGAACCCTGACTTTAAGAGTTCTCTCAAGGCAGCAACCCTGTAGATCCAGAACACCTGCCTACCAACACCCTCTGGCAAACTACCAGAGCATCTGCTGCCAAGTTTGTTAGAGGCAGGCAATGCAGGTTTTACCTCTTCATTTTTTTTGGTCCCTTGCTCTTACCAAAACTCTTGCCTAAGCCAGTTGGGAAAAGACAGATAAATCCATCCCAACATCAAATCCCTCAGGTGCTATCACAGTTCCAAAATCTGACACACCTTCACACCTGGTGGAAGGACTGTCTCCTCAATCACGTGCTGGAAGGTTTGGTCATTCTACATTCAGAGCAGCAGCAGAAGAGGAATAGAGATCTCAGGCTGTTGAGCAAGAACATCAGCCAAGAGGTGAAGAAAATAAATTCAGAAGAACAGGTGGGTTATTAGGTACGAGAAGAAGAAACACAGCTCAGGCTTCTTGGCCACCTTAATTTTCTGGCATCTTAAGAAGGATGTGAAAATCCTGAAAAATCCCACAAAAAGGGGAAGGCCTAGTACAGTGACCACAGCTGCAAGGGATTCCTGGCAATTTAATTTACTGTTATTTGCAAACAGTTAGGACAACATTCTGTGTAGCTCTGCTTGACTTTTAAGATTTTTCTACAACTTTCCGTAAATCCAGCAGGCTTCTATTAAATCCGTCATCTTCTGTTGTGTCAGACACAGAGCATCCTCTCTGGCAGACACATTCCCACCCGACAGCCTGGAACAACTGGATGCACGTGGGGATGCAAAACTGAAAAGCCCAAATTTGCACATTTTCATTGCATCTGGCAACATGGTGCAGAGAAACTTTGTGTAAAAGCTCAGCCACGGGGCTGTATTATTTGTTCTGGGGACAGCAAAATGCACGTATGCAAAGCCTTGGTGCTTTATGAACACGTCACTGAGTGCCAGAAAGGGGAAGGAATATCTTTCAGTGTTTCACTTCACTGTCCCCTATTTACGTTGCCATTTCAGCTCAGTGAATTTCAGCTCACAATTTCTTAGTTCGTGCTGTTTTTCTTCCTCTGGCGACCCTAAAACTTGCTGCCTTAAGAAAGGAAGGGGAAGCTTAGCGCAGGTTGTTCTTCAAAAGGAAGGCAGCTTCTCCAGCAGCCCTACGCTTCAGTTAATTTGATGGAAAAAGCTTTGTTTTCTGCTTTCTGCTCAGCTGTCCGGCCAATGCTTCTGCCCCCTCACCCAAACCTCACATCTGGAAATAGCACAGGCAGTGCCCAAGAGTGTGAGCTTCACTAACAGGAAATTTTGACGAGGGAACATCTCTTTGCTGTAGTGACACACTAAAGAAATAATACTTTTTTTGAGTTATGAGCTTCTTCCCTGTGCCTTCTGCTGACTCAGTGAAAGATAGAGGTGATCCAGACAAGTTGTAAGTCTCAGCACCTTCCTTCCCACTTTCACAAGACAGCAGGACTCAGGTTGCTAAGCTAAAGAAGAATCCCAAGAATTAAACAAAGTTCCCAAGAAGGATCTTGCTTTTTCACAAGAGCAATTGTGTGGCTGAAGTTTCAGAGAATAGCTTTGGTTTTATTTATAAAAGATAACTCCCTACAAGTTTTCCAACAAGGTAATTGCTGCTTTTACAGGAATCTTGCAAGAGTTTTACCACCACAATCTAGGTATAAACCAAGTAGGATGCTCTTCTAACCTACACCTAGAAGTCCACAGTATTGGTTGCAAGAGAAGCTGTCAGACTTGGGCAGTAAATCATAAATTATGACTCAGACTCCAGGCTGCTCCTGAGTCTCCCTAGGGCCAGCCAGAATCATCCTCTTTTCCCTGCTTCACATTGTAAAAATTGATTCTCTGAAACGTGATAACTCATTCAATTGTGTTTATTACAGAAACAACTTGTGGCAGACTGTAATGCAAGCTGACGTAGTCCAAAAAAAACCCAAATAAAAATCAATAAACTAGTGTTAATAGTGCTTAGCCTATCAGAAAACATACAACCGAGTGGCGAGGTACCTTTTCTGGCCAGATTCCCAGGTGGAAGTATAACCTGGCCTGGAGCATTAGATGCTGCACGTTGTCTGGATACATGGCCAGGTACAGATCCAACGAGTCTCTCAAGAGCTGGTAAGACTGATCAGTGCTTTCTCTGCCAGCAAAAAAGAAACCCAGTTGTAAGGCTAGCTCTTCAGCCCCTGTCCCCAGTGACAGGGATAGTCACCAAAAACAATGCTACAGGTTCGTGCTCAGGAAGAGCAATTCCAGCACACACTGTCACTCGTCACATCCAACGCTCAGCTCAGAAGGAAAAATGCCACACAACCCATGACTGGACTCCACCCTCCCACCTCACTGGTATTCTACTTGGTCAAATAATCCTACATAGAGATTTCACTCTCCAGGCCACTCCCTTTTTGAAATCTGCTTTTGTTCCTCTAGCTTAATTACACCTAAAGCAATCCTTTCACTCTGGGATTCCTGTCTATGGCTACTTATAAAACTAAATTTTCTACCAACAGTACCTTTGAAACCCCAGCAGTGTGCCCAGGTGGCCAAGAAGGCCAACAGCACCCTGGCCTGTATCAGGAGCAGCGTGGTGAGCAGGACTTGGGAGGTGATGGTCCCCCTTCAACAGCACCCTGGCCTGTATCAGGAGCAGCATGGTGAGTAGGACTTGGGAAGTGATGGTCCCCCTGTACTGGGCAGTGGGTGAGGCCCCACCTCGAGGGCTGTGCCCAGTTTTGGGCCCCTTCCCACTAAAAAGACCTTGAGGTGCTGGAGTGGGTCCAGAGAAGGGCAACGGAGCTGGTGAGGGGTCTGGAGCACAAGTCTTGTGAGGAGAGGCTGAGGGAGCTGGGGGTGTTCAGCCTGGAGAAGAGGAGGCTGAGGGGAGACCTTCTCGCTCTCTCCAACTCCCTGAAAGGAGGGTGTAGCCAGGGGGGGTTGGTCTCTTCTCCTGAGGAACAGGTGATGGGACAAGAGGAAATGGCCTCAAGTTGTACGAGGGGAGGTTCAGATTGGAGATTGGGAACAATTTTTACACAGAAAGGGTTATTAAGCCTTGGAATGGGCTGCCCAGGGAAGTGGTTGAGGCACCATCCCTGGAGGGATTTAATAGACGGGTTGACCTAGTGTTAGAGATATGATTTAGTGATGGTTTTTATCAGAGTTAGGCTGATGGTTGGACTGGATGATCTGAAAGGTCCCTTCCAACCTAGACAATTCTATGATTTGAGCTAATGGGCTGTGCTTACCAGATCATAACGAAGGTCTCTGTTCCTAAGGGAATGGTGGACAGCCCCTATCAGCTTTTCACAAAGAAACAACAACAAAAAAAAAAAAGATCTGCCCATTTTCTTGAGACAGCCCCTATCAGCTTTTCACAAAGAAACAAAAAGATCTGCCCATTTTCTTGAGGGGAACTAGTTTTACTAAATACTCGCTACTGCTGTGGGTGATTAAAAGCAACTAGACAATGCAAGGTGACATACAGAAATTCAAGACACCCCGGGGGTAACTGTGACCTTTTAAAGCACACACTCAAACACTGTGAAGAGGCAGTATCAGATAGGCAGACACTATACTCCGGGCCCTTTTCCCATCCCCACAGGCCCTACAGGCCAGATGATTCTCAACTCACCGCTTGCCGAGGTTTAAGAGGTTTCCCACCATACGCTGCAAAACCTCTTTTGAAGTCACCACGCCATAGAACTCCTCTGTCACATGGTGGCCAATAAGGTACTCGCACTCCTTCACCGTCAGCTGCTTCCCCTTCCCAAAGGCATCAATGTAGGTGTAGTCAAAAATATCTGTGCTTCTATCAAAACAACAAGGAAATTAAATTGTGATGGTGGGTCTCGTGGTAAGACAAGATTTCTGTTCTTCCCTCAGCACCTTCAAACTCATTTGTAAAACAAAGGTCATTCTTACCTCAGCTCCCTCCTAAAGAGAGATTATTAGTGACAGAACGAGAGGGAATGGCTTCAAGCTCCAACAGGGGAGGTTTAGACTGGGGGGGAGTCCCCATCCCTGGCTGTGTTTAAGGGCCGTTTAGATGCAGTGCTGAGGGACATGGTGTAGGGGAGGACTTTGTAGAGTAGGATAGATGGTTGGACTCGATGATCCCAAGGGTCTCTTCCAACCTAGACCATTCTATAATTCTATCTGGTACCTTCTCTCTTTGTCTAGCTGCTTCTTCAGACAAACTTACGTGGGAAAAGACAGAAAAAACAAGGGGACTTTTCACTCCATCCTGCCAGTTCTTTCCTTCAGATATTTTCGGGTTGGCTGTAGCTATTGCTAGATTATATTATGACACTGCACTGGGAAGTGTAACAGAGCCCACGCGTATGGCATCTGAGGCCTAGTGCCAAAAGAGGTATATATAGACAAAACCATTGCTCTGAATTGGACTGCTGATGTCATTCACAAAACCCAGATTTCTGTAAATTGATCATGATCTGGTCAAAGACGTATCCTGCGCTGACTCAGAGAATTAAATGAGTGCCCAGAACAGCAGCAATGGTTTCTCGCAACTGTTCTGCATGAAAGGTTACATGAAATCAGCCCCTTTTGATTTTCTTTTTGGTTTTTCATGGTTTTCTTAAATAAGAGAAACATTACCTCACGGCTACTATTATTTCACACTCAGGACATCTGTTACCATTCATCAACAGCAGAATTTAATTCTGGGAAAACTTTTAGAGACCTGATCTTTTTATCGTAATTACGGATGGAAAATAACTAAACATTCTGGTACAGCTCTGGAGCCACAAATGCTTTCTGGCTTTTATTACCATGGACAAAACTTCAAAATTGAGCAGATGACTTACCCTTCTTTTCCTTGACACCACCTGAGCAGAAAATGGCTAGGGAAGTTGACTGGTTCAAGCTTGACTCCCAGCTGCCTGGCAATTGTTAAATAAAGCACAGACAAACTGATGGGAATTCCCGTCCTGCGGATCAAAACCTGGGGGATAAAAACGTGATAAAAACATGTGGGTTATTAAGAAGAAACACAAAACCTCAAGGTTTGATTTTACAAATGGAAATACACCAACTTGGCAAAATATGCAACAAAAGATGACATTTGTCTGACTGCATTTGGACAAATAAACACCACAGATAGAATGTCTCAAGCCTTGCAACCTCCTAGTTTTTGCCTAACATACACGTACCTGGTGAATGTAGGAATTCAGGGAGTTATAGTAATCCAGCTCGTTTCCTTTGTATTTTAACTGCTCATACAGGACACAATTCATAGCATCAAGTACCTGCCGCTGAAGCTCCACTTCTGGAATCACCACCTCTCCTAAAAACACATACAATGAAATAAAGACTGAGAAAACAACTGTTCTTAACCTTTATGCAATGAACCTTATATCAAAATTCTTCATATGGAGTAAGAACACAAGAGATTCATCTCAATTTGGACAGTCAAGAGACAGGGCACTGCAGCTGGATGTGTCACGCTGCCCGGGCACAAGTGGGAAATGGCCCTTCACTGCTCAAGAGACCCAGTTAGGCCACTCCAGGTACACAGATACAGGCAGACACTCATTCTCTCTTGGAAAGACAGCAAACATTGGATAGTGCTTCGGAAAAACAAGGAGCAAAATGCTGCCTGACCTTTGGAGGTGTTAAACCACGTACCTTTTCTACTGCTGCGGTCTTTCTGAGACTCGCAGAGGAAGAGAAGTCAATCCCCCTGTCCCACAGCTCTGCTACAGATATTAGGACTACTTAAGACTTCAGGGACAAAAAAGAAGAAATTCCCTAATTCCTTCCTAATACTATTTTTCTTAGACAGCATCAGATGGACTGACAATCCTGGGCTTTTGAGCCCCTGTGGCTCACCAAATGGTGAATGATGGTTTAAGCAAACGTCGGAATATGCTTGCCAGGGGATAAAGAACAACAGCTCTTTAGGCTGCAATAATCCAGCAGCTGTTTCACCTCGTCTGCCTGTACCCAAACTTGCAGGAACACTCTGCAGCAAAGCACACGTTTCTGTACAGTACCTGCCTTGGAAGCCAAGCTGGGGTGCCGTGGGTTTTTCGTCCGCAGGACTTTGCGCACTTTATCCGTGATATCGTCCACCTGTGCCTGGACACTCTTTAAGCAGATGTCTGACAGGGGGTTACAGTATTGATCAATTAAAACAGCACCTGGAAAAAACAAACTATATAAGAAACAGGACTTCAGTTTTTTTTCCTTTGCTTGGTTTTTACCTCCTGTAAATTCCAGGCATGCAGCAAGCAATTGCAGCAGAACACAAGAGCTTTCCTTTTAAAATCTGCAGTCATATATTGGATTTCATCACACAAAATGCAAAGAATAAACTGACATGATAAACACCAATTAAATTCAGTATTCCCCTCTCCACCACCCTGGAAGGCAAAGCAACAGATAGTACATTGAGCAGGTAAGCTGTTGGACCGGGCTTTACCAGCCAACTCTTTGGTCACAATGCACCTTCTGGCATCCTCCCAACTTACAATGTTTTTTTTTTATTTAGAGCCTGAAACAAACTCGGCTTCACTTCTGCTTCAGTTCTGATTTCTTCCTGCCATATCCTCCATAACTATCATTCTTGCTCATCATTCCTTCTTCTGCTACATTCATCTTTCTCTTCCACGCCTGCTCTCCATCTTCATGTCAGAAACCCACTATAACAGAACAGCCTCTTCTGTCAAACTTCGGCAGGAGAAAAATACCCTTTCATAGAATCTTCTCCTTGCCATCTTGTCACCACTGCTCTTTCCAAAGTCTCCCTGTTTTTCAATCTTTGGAATCAACTGCATTCACCTCTAAGACTTCTGCATAGATTATACCTCTTCAGCTTCCTCCACTGCTTCGTTAGCAGGAAGCATTTCTCCTCCTGCTTCCTTAGCACTTCCATGACAGGCCCATATTCAAGGATTTCAGCAGAGAGCCACCCCATGTCCTCCTTCTCTCCCCTCCAAACTGTTCCCCGTGCTGACCAGCTGAAACTTCACAAAAGACTGCCTGCTGGTGCTCTGAAAATACCTCCATGGCAGACAAACGCATGCATTTGTGAGCCACATGACTAAGTTACATAATTAACTGTCTCAGTTATTTCCAGAAAAGGCCACTTTAGGCTTTCCTCTCTTGCCCTAACACAGTCCCTTCTTCAAAGTCTATTGCCACTAACGAAAACCAGCTTTGGTGTTAAAGACTCGTTTGAATGACGTTCTTGAGGTATGTACCAACAGTAAGTGATTCTTCTACAGACACCATGAGCTTCTGGGGCATTCAGAAGACTATCTTCTCCACAGGAAGCTTGAAGAAAAGAATAATCCACCAGACCTGAGGACACGAATTGCAGAAAAGCCTTTGCATTCTTCATATCAGGTGCATGTGCCTTCCTACCCCACAAGTGGACTTCCATCCATTCCCCAGCTCTAGATGGCATAGTGGTCAGACTGCTCTCGAAAGAAAGCCACAGCACATGGGCTACAACAACAACTCCCCCTGCCTGCAGCTTGCTCCTAGCCCTTATCTGAGAAGCTCTTGGGAAAGGATAGCATGGAACCGACCCAGTAGCACATCAGTTGGTCTGTTAGACCATATCAGGTCCAGAGGACACCACGGTGACGTTGCGAGGGCTGGAGCCCCTCTGCTGTGAGAACAGGCTGAGAGAGTTGGGGGGGGTTCAGCCTGGAGAAGAGAAGGCTCTGGGGAGCCCTTGGAGCCCCTTCCAGTCCCTCAAGGGGCTCCAGGAAAGCTGGGGAGGGACTCTGGATGAGGGAGGGGAGCCCTGGGAGGAGGGGGAAGGTTTTGACACGGAAAGAGGGAAGATGGAGCTGAGATGTGGGGAAGAACTTGTTTGGTGTGAGGGTGGTGAGAGCCTGGCCCAGGTTGCCCCGAGAAGCTGTGACTGCCCCATCCCTGGAGGGGTTCAAGGGCAGGTTGGGGGGGGAGCTTGGAGCAACCTGGTGTGGTGGGAGGTGTCCCTGCCCAGTGGACAGGACAGGGGGTGGGACTGGATGGTCTTTGAGGTCCCTTCCAACCCAAACCATTCTGTGATTCTACGATTTAGCCCATGGGCTACAGTTAAAATGCTTCTGCAGTGTCAGTGAATTAGACAGTGAGCTACTGCTGATCTTCTCAATACATCATTCAAGATGCAAATACATTGTCTAATATTTTCTCCACTGCTTTTAAGCTCATCTGTCCGTGGGCAATTATTCAAACTCTGACAGAACCTACTGTAATCCTGACATTCTGATGCAACGCTATGCAACCACTGCAAGATTTTATAGATTTCAGGCACATCAAAAACCCAAACAATTCTGAGTCGTTGTCCAAGCTGAAATACAAGCAAAGGTGTCTCTTTCCAAGTAAAACAAGTGATGGAAAGCTGTGATGAGGTGCTCCGCATGGGATTTCTGCCAAAGACTTACCCTCCAAAAATGACTGCCGATCAGTTGGGCGCTGAAGATACTCCTTCAGATTTTTTAATATATTCTGTTGCCGTAGGAAGTATAGAATTTTCTTTGCATAGTACTTCCAGGTGAGACCTTTCCTGCAGATTTAAATACAAAAATGAGTATTGTCCTGAACAAGCATTTAAAGGGTGAACATTTTGATTTAACTGTTCCAGTGAATACAGGTTTACAATTTAGACTACTGCTTTTCTTAGCAAGTCTTACAACACTATCACTGAAGAGTCAACCAAAAAGGTAAATATTAAGAGGAAATTTCATCCTCAAAAAAACCCACAAGATAAGACACCTGCAAAACATTGTTCCTATATTTCCCTGCTTACATTTCCTCTCCTCCAGACTGCAGGTCAAATCACCCTTCTCCATCCTACTGGACAGGAGAACAATCAAACCTCGTAACACTTTATCTTCTCCCAGTAAATTGGGATGCTCAATAGGGACAACTGCTTTATTGGGATATCTTCCAGGGAAATGATTTAGCCTAATGCTCCTGAATGGCAATGACTACAGCTTAATCAGGGTGTAATTAGCATCAATTCTGCTTTATGGGGAGGCATTTGGCCAGTGCAAAGGCTCAAAAGCTTTTTAACCAGTTGTCAAATGAGAGATGTTTAGTCCCAGTTCAAATAGGGAAGGTAATAAAATGGATGTGAAAAAGCAAAAATGAGATGATTGCCATTCCAGTTGTGTTTTTTCAAGCTCTACTAACAGTCTCTTTAATCAAGGCTATTAGGCTCCATTAAGAGCAATCTCTCGCTGCTTCGTATCACAGCAAAATCAGCATGGTTTATACCCTACCAGCAGAAAAAACTTGAAGTAAAGCAGTGACTTATTCATCTTGCCCAGTGTTAACCACGGTGATGAGAATACTCAGGCAGATGATAACCACGAGTTCTATTCACCCACTTGGCATTTTCCCTGAGTGAATAATTTACAGAACTGCAAATTTTGCAGTGGCTGAATTAAACTCAGTTGCTTATTTGCAGACAAAAACTGGACCAACCTACTACAGCTAAGAAAAGGAACAAGAGTAGGAAAAAAAAAAAAGCTGTAGTTTCATGATTCAGGGTGGCAACCCTCATGGAGTATTCCTCCTTCCCTCCGGTGCTGTGGCCTCATTCTGCAAATCAGTGCAGCAAACGGATCCTTTTTTTAATTTAAACCTGGAATATGAGGATGGGAACTCCTTAAGCCAAAACTGCTGCAGAAAAAAGGGTACATGGAACAACATGTCCCGAGAGACATCATGAACTGGCAAGGAAATAAGCAACAAGCAGCAGCACAAGGCCATAGGACTTCCTTCTTGTCAAATAATTTACACGGTTTCTTTTGGGAATATTAAATTTGTCCTGAAATTAAACACACAGCAACACTTCCCAGCTTTGGTAAGCCTGGGGACGTTGTTTTGTGAGAGTGACAAAAGGGCAGAAGCTGAGGCCAGGTCACCACAGTACCATTCTCCTTTAACCAGTGAAAGGGGGAAAATCCCTTCCATTTCTAACCCCTCTTTCTTACCTTCCTTCCATGTTCAGGATACACATCAGCTCATCCTCAAAAAAATGACTTGGGCACCCGAGAGTCTCTATGTCACTGAATCCATCACAGGGGACCTATCAAACCAGACAACAATGAATTATGGGGAGCACAACAGATTCATCCCAAAAGAATGTAATTCCATAAAAAGTCTCAAATACAATTTTATTTTTTAAAAATCTATGAAGATCTTAAAAATGTCCAGCTCACCAAACCAGACAACAATGAATTATGGGGAGCATAATTCATCCCAACAGATTCATCCCAAAAGAATGTAATTTCATAAAAAGTCTCAAATACAATTTTATTATTTAAAAATCTATTAAGATCTTAAAAATGTCCAGCTCAACAAGTACTCACAGTCTCTACTCCACAGATTTATTACAAGGATCCACTGAGAGTCCCAGTAGTGTCCTACAGGAATTTGAGCTAATTACTACAGCAGTGGGGGCTCCTACAGCAGGTGTACAGACCAGCACAAGCTTATGCAGGCTGGACCCAAGCTGAATGTCATTTTAATGTGGAATCATCTTTTTCCTGTGGTTGACTGAACCTCTAGAAGTCCCCCCTAGTGCAGCAGATTGCTCCTAGGAGAAGGAACAAAGGAGCAGGAACCTTCATTTCAGCCTCAAATTTACACTGAAAAACCTCACCTGATTAATTACAAGCCCTCACCCAGAGCAATCAGCTTCTTGAAAGAATTTTTTGAAGCAATCACTAGTTATCTATATTCAGAAGAGTTATTTTCTTCCAAAATTTGGTATTATTTTTTATAAGCTTTGATTGAATTGTACCAAATCTTTTTGCTTTCAAACTTTTCAGTACAGGACACAGGCTAATAGAGTAAGGAAAAAGCAATTCTTATTACGCTGTATCTTAGTGGGCACCCCACAGGATCTACTGCAACTGGGTTGAAAGTCTCTTCCCCTCAACTCTACGCAGGGATTCAAGCTGCAGTTCCTACCCCCACCAACGAAGCAAACAGACAATGAAATAGCTGTTGTCCCACGTGCAAGTCAGTCTCTCAGAGACCAGGTTTTCACCTTCATCACAGTGAACTCAAAAGCATCTTGGCATCATGGTTGGGTAAAGAACTTAAATATTACACTTTCCAATGCAGTGAACCTATTGCACCTTGGTCCTGTCCTCAAATGACTCCTGACAACTCACAGAATGTATCCTCGCGCAAGGTCTGCGGTGAGATAAATTAACAGGCTGTGGAACAGGTTTGTGTCAACAAACCAGCAGTCTTTCTGAAGTTCCCAGAGCCAGGTCTGAACACGCAGAAATGGGCAAAGAGCTTTTAAAGCTGCAGCGGCACCAGCTGAACGTGATGCTTTGGATTCTATGCATCTTCAGGCTTCGGACTGTCTCTCCCCTTCTGGCTGGTGATCCAGCATTTTCACTCAAAGTGAGGAAAGAGGAAATTTCTGATTGCTTAGTTGAAAGGATGTGAAGGGAGAGGAAAGGCAAACTAATAAAAAGTACTAAACAAGTAGCTAGGCTGCTGCACATACACAGAGAAGATGACTTACGTGTTCTGAAAAGAACCTTTTGGAGAACGAAGCTACAATTCTCTGGGCTTCTAGACCAGCGTTGTGCCGTGCTTTGTATTCTTCAAGCCAGCTAACACTGTCTGTGTGGCTGTAGTATTTCAGCAGCGATGGCCATCTACACAACAAGACAGAAGGGAACAGGTTCATTAGTATTTCAACATCACTGAGAACCTCCAGATCCATAAAACGTTCCTTATTGTAACCATACGACTTGTGAAGCTGAGACATTGCCAAGACACAGTACAACTCTAAATGTAATTGTATAAATTAATCTAATGATTGATTCAAGCATTAAAACATAAATCCAACCGATTTCATCTGTGTATTAATGGTTGTTTCAGAGTAAGTTCTCCTGAAGCCTGCCAACAAGAAACCTTCAAACAAGTTCATACTCTGGGTATTTCAATATTTCAATTTGAGATTTCCCCCGGTGCTTTGCAAGATAAGCACAGGTATCACATTAGTAGAAGAGAGGCAGAGTTTTATAATAGAACAAAATAATTTGCTATTCTGAAGATGTATCACATGTAAGCTAACTTGGCATCTAATGGAATGAGAATTCATTGTCCTGTGTTCTTCCAATTACCTCATGGGTCTAATTAAAAGGATGCACAAAACAGAGCTCCCTCTGTTGCCCTTGCTGACGGCAACATCTACTGGAGGAAAACAGAATTCTGAAGTCAAATTGTGACAGCTAAATGCTTCTGCAGTTCATTTTTAATACAAGAAATAATTATTAAAAAAAACCCTCACACCTTTCTTGTAAAAGCAAGCTGTATCTTCTTTGCCAAGTCTGAAAGTTCAAAAGCTAAAACACACTCCACAGCTTACTAAGAAGCGTTTCAAGGCTCAATTGAAAACCTAACTTCAGGTAATGTTTTGGAGGCAGCAGCACCTTTTCTAATAAAAGGGCATGTACTGCCACAACACAGCCCTGTGCCAGAAAATATATACAGCACAGCAACACACGACTGTTCTGAGGATACCAAGATCACTTGTGTATGAAACATGACAAAGAATCAGCACAGATGGAAATATTTTGGACACCACGGGAAAGAAAGCTGAGAGTAAGGCCTTTTGTCATTTACAGGGGCATTTATTTCACACTTTGAAATTCTATTAATTATTACTGGTTTTTACAAAGCATTTTCCTTCAACTAGAAGGATTAGGTTCTTTTCAGGTAATACATATAAATATATATACACACAAATTTTTATATATCGATATATTTTTACTTTTATTAATAGAGAGAAGGCAAAATGTTTCAATCACTACTTCTACCAACTGACCAAAAGTCACAGTTGCGTCCGGCCACACATGGGAGATATTTTACTCCCAGTTAATAATAAAACTACACTGCAACTGCAGTTACAAAATAAAGTCAAAGACTAAGCAAATAACTTTGTGTTATATAACAACCCCTCTCCTGATGGATCCCAGCCATTCATCTACCGCTGAAACCCAGCCACACCGTAATAACAATTACAATCATTTATTTTTAGGATGAGAAAGAGTAATTTCTTGGGTTGAAATGATATTGAAAATTTGAGGAAGATAAAGTGCAATTACTCACGGTGGAACGCAGCCAGGACGACAAGGGCGATGTGCAAACTCCTGCCAAAAGTTCTATTATCAAAGACAGAGGAGGGCAGCAGCTTGTGCTAATCACCTACCACATTGAATTTCAGCTGCTGGATCTGAACCATTTTTAAACTTTCAGGTTTGCTTCAGAAATTAGAGCCACTGAATTGGTGAAAGGATCTGGCCAGCCGTCCCAGGCCATAGCTCAGTGAATTGAGGAAGCTGTAATTGTTCAGCAGCCTTTTTCACTGGTGGAAAGACAATAATCCTCTCCTTTGAGCTGTGCTAAATTTTAGAAGCCAACTGGCAATTGGATAAAGCATTATTGCTACTTTTCCTGTGCCAAAACACAGACAAAACCAGGTAGCAGATGAGCGTGCTCTATTCTAGATAGGTTGGCAAACCCCAGTGATGGACTGGAGTTTCTAGAACTGCTGAAACCACTGTGGCATAAGCATTATCAATAATAATGCTCATGCTTTATTCCCAGCTAAAGCGTGGCCAGTGAAACTGTTAATAACACAGCTATACCCTTATCAGACACCGTGTGCCTTTGAGGGAAACTGAACTCATACGGAGCAGAAGTCACTACAAAGGATTTTTAGGGTGGTGAGAGCCTGGCCCAGGTTGCCCCAAGAAGCTGTGGCTGCCCCATCCCTGGAGGGGTTCAAGGCCACGTTGGAGGGGGCTTGGAGCAACCTGGTGTGGTGGGAGGTGTCCCTGCCCAGGGCAGGGGGTTGGAACTCGATGATCTTTAAGGTCCCTTCCAACCTGAACTATTCTGTGATTCTATGATTTTGGTTTCTGGGAAAACAGCTCCCCCAAAAGCGCTACAAATAAACACCTCTTTGCTGTAAAGCATCAGTCCTGTGACAGAACAAGTCTTGGCAGTTGTTGTGGAAGCTGCTGGCTGACATTGCCTACCTTAGCGGGATGAGAGAGGACACTCAGCAACCCAAAATGCATGTGCCCTGTGTCTGCACCACTGCCAGCCCCCACACGGGGCCTGCAGGTAATCCAAGTGCCCAGCTGTGGAAGGGGCTGCAAAGAACCACCTCCACGGAGCAAGGTGGGGCTCCTGTGGTCTCCTCCTGCGGGATTTCGGCGGGGAAGCAGCCTTGTGACAGTCCCTGCCATCCCTGCTTGGGAAGGACTTCTCCTCACCCCTTATACACAGCAGAAAGCCGCAGGGCTCCTCCCGCCCGTCAGAGGTTCTGCACACACCTTGCAGAGCCAGCAAGAGAGACACAGATGGGGTGTATGGGGTGCATTCCTCCCCCCAGGCGCACCCCGGCCCTCCCAGGCCGAGGGGACAGAGGGCACCGTCCCCCGGTGCCCGCTGAACCCCCCCCGGTAGGGCCTGGCCTGCGCTGACCGGGCCCTCCCGCCACCGGGGCGCTGAGGAGAGGCCCGGCTACCCCTCGCCCACCCTCGCAGCTCCCCCCGGAGGGCCATGCCGGGCCTGGCCGTGCCGTGCCGGTCGGCGGTGCCCACCTGAGGCGAAAGCGCTCCCGCCACACCTTGCCGCGGGGCTGGCAGGCCTCACGCAGCCGGCGGCAGGTGCAGGACACCCGCCCGATGTCGGCGGCTCCCAGCACGTCGCAGCAGAGGATTAGCTCCAGCAGCTCGCCCGGCAGGTCCGTCAGGCCCATCCCGTCGGCGTCAACCTCCGCCGCGCCCCGAGGCCCTCCCGGCCCCGCCGGGCCTGAGCCCTCCGCCGCCGCCGCCATCTTGGATGTTTACCTGGGCGCCCCCCCTCCTCCCCGCGGGCGGGGTTAGGGAGCGTCTCACGCTTCCGGCGCAGAGGGAAGGCGGAGGAACGGCCCCGGGGAGCGTCTGCCAAGTGCCGCCGCCCCGCAAAGCGCAGAGCGGAGGGGCGCTTCGCCTGTGCAAGCGCCGCTAGGGAGCGTCTGCCAAGTGCGGCGGCGGCGGCGCGGGGCGGAGCGCGCCGCCTCGCCAGGTCAAGGGCAGCGGCGGGGACTAGGGAGCGTCTGCAAAGTTCCTACCCCAGGAAGGGGCGTCCGCCTCCAGGGAGGCTGGGGACCTCCGGCCCCTCAAAGGCTGCCGGCCGCCCCGGCGGTCGGTAAGAGACCGTGGCCCACCCCGAGTCCCGGGGAGGTTGCGGGGAGCCAGGCGGGTGCAAGTGGTCTGTGCCAGCCTGCCCTGGGCTAGCAGGGCCTGAGGGGCAGAGGGGAAGCCGTGTCTGAGGTGACGCTGCTGCCATGTCTGTGCAGCACCTGAGGGAATGTCACCACCATGTCTGCGGTAACACCTGAGGGAATGCCACCTCCATGTCTGTGGTAACACCCGAGGTAACGCCACCTCAATGCCTGTGGTAGCACCTGAGGCAATGCTGTCTCTGTATTTGAGGTAGCGCCTGAGGGAATGCTGCCGCCATGTCTGCAGTAGGCCCACTGTGGGGCCTGAGGTACTGCCAGCACGGTGTGTGAGGTGACGCCAAGGTGTCTGCTGCTGTGTCTGGGTTAACAACGTGGTGATGGCTGAAGCACCACCACTGCCATGTCTGAGGTCACACCATGGTGGTGTCTGAGGTCACATCATGGTGGTCTCTGAGGCTGCACCACTGCCGTGTCTGAGGTGACACCATGGTGATTTCTCAGGCCGCGCCATGGTGGTGTCTGAGGTGACACCATGGTGATCTCTCAGGCCGCGCCACTACCATCTGAGGTCACACCATGGTGATCTCTAAGGTCACACCATGATGGTGTCTGAGGTGACACCATGGTGGTCTCTGAGGTCACACCACTGCCGCGTCTGAGGTAATCACAGTGTAAACACAGAGAGTATCACACTGACTGACATCATGCCACTGCCATGTTTGAGGTCACACCACTGCTGAGTCTGAGGTGACACCATGACAGTGTCTGAGGTCACACCATGATGGTCTCTGAGGTCACACTGCTGTTGTGCCTGAAGTAAAACCACCGCCATGCCCCATGGCAGCCATGTTGCCCTCTGGCCAGCCCGGTGCTGCAGGGTGCTGGGGGAGCAGCCCTTCACCCCTTCACACCTTTCATCCTCTTGCCTCCTCCTCATAGACACCTTTGGGTCTCTCTGCCCTGATCACATCCGTGTCCTGCTGCTCCTTGGAGAGCACTACGAAGTGATTAATTTAAATAATGGCACCTTAGTACCTCCTTGAAACAGGACCCTGCCTTCCTGTGTAAAAACCCTTATTTCTGGCTCATTCACCTGGCTACGTGCAACCATTCTTTTTTCTCAGGTCTCCCAGGTCCTGCCTGGAGCACCGCTGCTGTCTTCCCGGGGCTCCAGCATCACAGCTTGCCCTGGACTGTGTGCAGACAGCCCTCCTTGCTCAACCGTGGCATTTTCCTGGTGGAGATGATATAAATGATGTGAAATATGTAATGCTGCGACTCAAGCAACCTTACAAGCAAGTGTCTCTGTCTCGCAGATAAATAGATATCGCTGATTGATGCCACCACCCTATTTATGGTGCTTTACGGGTAGCAAACTGGAGCACGGCCAAGATATTAGGAGAGGCCTTTCAGTGTTAAAAACATGGAGATAAGAGAAAACCGAGGTCTGCTAGGTTTTAGTTCACTTTTTTTTTTATTTTGACTGTAATGCAAACAGGCATAAGTATTCCATAAAATCAGAAGATCGGAACTATACAGAGAGAGGTGCATGCTTTAGAACAATGTGGATATCTTGCAAACAGAGCCAGAGTCAGTCCGAGAGAGGGGGCTGGAGTACATTGTACGAATGGCAGAGATTTTTAGCAGCATTGAGAGCTCGGAGGTAGGGGAAAACCACGTTTCTGGCCGCTTAAAGCACTGGTACGATCAAATACAACACTGGCTCACCCCTGCTCCCACCCTCCCCACCCCTTTGCTCCTCAGAAGATACCTACCAGGATGACACAAAAAGCTACAAAATAAGCTAAATGCCCCCCCCCCTCCACACATACCTGTCTTACGGGATGCAAAGTGAGAGTAAAGACAACGTGCCAGTCTTAAATCACGGCATCATCTTATAAACCAAATGAAGGCACAGTGACATGAGGAGGCGCTGAGGGGCGGGAGGAAGGAGCGGGAGGACCAGAGAGCAGCGAGAGGTTGGAGTCCCATCAAGCAGAGCAGAATTCACCCACGATTGAAGGTTTAGAAAAACCTCTGCGATGGCAAGTTTGGGAGGTGCCTGCCCCAAAGCTGCTATCCTTCACAGACCGGCCCCCTTTCTCGTCTCGGCACTGCTGCGCTTCAGTAAAAAGGCCACCAGAAAAAAAAAAAAAAAAAAGAATCCAAACCAACCTTTGAGGCTTATGCTTTTCAAAGGTGCCTAAGGGAATGGAGGGAAGAAATCCCTGTTCCTATTACAAAAATTAATTGGCACTGAATATCAAATTCCCTGGGCGGCTGGCAGAACTCATGTTTCTAACTACATGCAATCTAAAAAGCAATGAGTCCTGGCTGAAAATCATCTGACTCTGTTCATCTACCGCCTGGGGAATTGTCTACACTCTACAAGAGCCGGGGGTTGTTGCTGCAGACCAGGGAACCTACTCTCAAGCTCTTTTCAGCACACGGATCCCAGGGTGTTTTTTTGAAGGCATCTCAAGGCAGCAGAGCACGTGTAACCTTGGGAATCGCGGACATTTGCCTATTTCGTAGAGTTCTAGCAAAGCAGAAATTTCGCATTGAATTTCATTGGCTTCAAAGCCGTCACTTCAATGCTGGGCACGGGGAGATTCGGAAACACTCTCTTCTTTTTCTGGAAATCCTGTTGAGCGCTGCAGAGTGTATTTTGTTAAGATGTGGTTCCATGCCACCATCACACAGAGAGACAAATAAAAAAGCAGGTTGAGAAGTGAGTAGCGCTAATGCCTCTTGTTGGAGTTGAATACATGTTAAGGCAGTTTTGTTGCCCTGGGAAAAATTTAAAATCTCCGTTAGCAATTATTGTGGGGAAAAAATATTCAGTTTCATCCAAAACATTTTGATATACCTTTCTTTTTTTTTTCTTTTCTTTTTTTTTTTTTCCAAAGCCAACACATGAAAACAAAGCAACAAAAAGAAGCCCCAAATGAGTTGCTCTTTCAGATCAGTATTGAGCCTTGACATTTCAAAGCATTAAGAATGCCCCCAGTAGAAATATACTTTGCTGGGTGTTATTCACTAGCAGGTTTCCGAACCAGACCTATGGAGTTGTGTGTAATTCCTGCAGCCAGGAGTCTGCCCGCAGCCTGGCCCCGCTCTCCTGCCGTTCCACCACCCCACAACAGCTCCTCAGGCTTTGGCCCATGGACACGAGGAGCACCATCAAAGCCTTGGCTCATCGGCTCCTGGTGAAGGAGCGATTCTCAGGGCAAGGCCTTGCAGGTTTGATTTTCTTGCTTTTCAAGTGATTCTTCCCTCTTCTCTGCCCAAAATCCGGCCAGGTAGGTACACAAGTGAGTGAATAAGGCAGGAAAGCAGCAGCCCCTCTCGCTGCTAAACAAGCTGTGGCTGCGCAGCTATGGACTCACAATCTGGGTTTTGTGGTGTTTTTTAATTTTTTCCCTGCGATTTCGATGGCACAAACTTCCATCAGAGCCAAACATCTGTAGGGGTGGAGGCCAAGAGTTTCTAATTTACTTCATTCCTGGCACGGCAGGGAAAAGGTGTGTCTGCGTTACAATGCTTAAATATTTCATGAGTTCCCCTTGTACCTGTACTAAAAATCAAGCCATTTTCAACCCCTGGTAAGGTCTGGTTTGCTTCTGGAGCCAAGTGCTTTTAAACAGCAGCCTCATTAGCCTTCTCTAGCTCCCCTGATTGCCTGGTAAATACACACGGTCGCATGAAAGAAGCTAGAGCTCAGATCTGAGGGCAGATTTCAAATGGATGGTGAGAGTCCTGCATTGCAGGCAAGTGCAAGTGCAGGTTGACACACGCAAAAAAAATAGTGTTGTCGTGAAACTGCTGCTGTTGGTGCAAAAGCCTGATCCTGCAAACTGCTGAAACCCCCGACGCCGCTGAAGCCAGCCCGTGTGGAAGGCATTTCATATCTGAGAGGACTCTGATTCTAGAATAATTTTGTCCAAGTTTGGGAATGCAGTTTTCGAGAGCACTCAGCACCGGCCAAATTTTGCTCCCCCTGTTATAGCAGAAGAAATTGTTATAAGAAAGCCGGAGTAAGAGTGAAGTTTGAATGGTCCTGAAAATGTGTTTCCATCTGTTCTGTAAAGGGACTGGGCTCCCCTCTGGAACTATCAAAGCAATTGCAAAGTTATCAGAGCAATTCCGAAGCTGAGAACCGGTCCCCGGTGAAAGCAGGAACAAAATTTAGTTTGGAGCATAAAATTATCCTCCCACAAAGCGCTGGGAACTCTCTGCAGGTATAAATCAGGGGACTGTAACGGCTTCAGCGGTCCTTGAGTCGGGAGGCAGCAGCTTTGGCTTGGGCTTGGTGTGAGTCCACGAGGCTTCAACACAAAGATGCCCTCTCCCCCCAAAACAGCTTCATAAAAAGGTGGAAAGGTGGTCTCCAGGACATGGTGGGCATTCACAGAAGGTTATGTCCAGTTTGCACCCACGGTCTAACCCTGTGCTGCCTCCCAACCCGCTCTAAAACCCCATCACTGGGAGATTAATGGCAGAGAGTGGCTGAGCAGGGCTATGAGCTTGCTCTTGGTTATCCCAGGGGGAGTTTGCCCACCAAGAATGTCACTTGTCAAACGAAGCCACCTGTTCCCCTCATCCTCTGGTCCATGTGTAGTAGGAGCATCTCTAGAGAGGGCAGGAGCAGGAGGGCAACCCCGGTGCAATAGTCTCTTCCTGGCACAAGGCACTGTAAGTCCGTTGCCACCCCCAGGACCCACCCTTGCTAAACTACACCTTTTGGCTGAGCAGATGGAGCTGGGAAGGAGAAAGGAGGGATCTCCAGAGGGAAGCAGTTGGAGGGAGCCTGGGATGGGGCGAGAGGCGCCGCATACGAACAGTAAAGGAACGAACGGAGCGATCACAGACTGGACACAGGTTCATGCAGCTCCCATCCCATCTCCTTCTTCTGCAGAGGTGCAATCAGGTTGGCTCAGGACACAACTCCAAGTTTTCCAGTCACACACGGACACATTGGATGTGAACAGAGTCCCCTGCTTGCCCCTGGGGACATGTAGGCACAGGACAGGGGACAGGCAGCATGGACAGCCCAAACCCCTCAAAAACTCCATTTCTCTGGCCAATATGAATGCGACTGACTTGGTTTCTCCAGTGCAGTGAGCTCAGGCCCACACAGCAACCATCTTGGAGGTGTCATCTTTGCCAGTCTACTCCTGATGGCAGAAGTCTCATTATTTTCCTGCTGTCTCTCATAAATAGAAGAAAAACAAACTCCCCGGCAGTCCTTCTGGGGAAATGAAACCTTTGAAGTCATCAACAAGACAGGCAATAGATACCCTTGCACTGAATGAACAAATTATTTTTCCCTGCTACTGGACACAGCAGGTTGGGAAAACAGAGAACTGTTTCCCATGAGTTTTCAAGTTCATATATAACTTCCTGTGGACATTTGAAAAACTTACGAATTAAAATCTTCAACAAAAAAACCCCTCACTTCATGGTGTCTTGAAAATCGAATCTCCTGGGGAGTGAAAAGGAGCTCAGCTGCTGCAAAACAAGCAGTGGTGGAGATCTGTGGTGGGACATTGGATCAGGCTGGGTGTCCATCAGGTCCAGGAGGCAAAAGCCACGTGGGGAAGTGGAGGAGCCTGGACGGGGACCCGGAGGTGACAGATCTGTGACCCAAGTGGCCAAGAGGCACAACCCCTCCATGCATGACCCCCCTGAGCTGCTCATGGCACCAGTCTGCAGTAGACCCCACCTCGCTCCCCGCCGTTTAAGCATGCTGGAGGTATTGTAGCTACACCTACGCGTCAGAAATGTCACACCGAGAGGAGCAGAGTCTAGACAACTGGTGGAAGAGCCACATTTGTGGAATGATAAAGCAGATCCGCAAGTTTATTCTCCCCCTTAGCCGTGGAAGAAAATTAAGCTCAAGGGGAGTGCGAAGTCCTTGCAGGTAAGGGGGATGAAGGAGAAGTTAAGACGTCTGAGACTGACTCAACAAAAAAACCCCAATGAATCAAAATTCCCAGCGGTGTGGCTCAGGCAGAAGGAGCGGAGCGGCAGCCGGAGCCCTGGGGGATATATTCACTTCATGGACCTTCACTGCAGGGGGGTGTTTCTTCTCCAGGGCCAGGCAGGTTGGCCTTAGACCAGCTTTTCCCTTCCAAATGGCTCTGAAGGACTCGCCTACCCCGATGCCTGTTGAACTTGGGCTGTCTGCCCCGCACAGACCCCTCTGGAGATCTCACCGGAGGCGAGACGCACACCCTGGTCCCTTCTCCACTGCTTTCCCTGGCGGCTCAGCTGGAAGGAGGAGATGGAGGTGGGGAGCTTTGGGGTGTGGGCAAAGCAAGGCCATCCATCTCAGACACAGGCTGCAGCAGCAATATGATTTCCAGATGGGAGATGTTACAGCGATACAGGCAGAAGGCAGGACAGGAGAAAACTAATTGCCAGCAACACAGGATGAGCTGGAAAGAGGACGAAGACAAGGGCATTTCTTTGGGCACTACCTCCTCCTCAGGTTGCATCATTCCTTCTACTGAAAGGAGGACCAGAGAAGAGTCTAGAGACAGACTAAATTTCCCCCCAAGGAGGGGATGAGTTTGAATTTATTTTTCAGCTCTCTTTCTGCAGCCATAGCACTGGGGGGGTAGGACCAGGTTTGCTGTACGTTTCCAGCTCCCCCATCCCACTGCCTGTCCCGGGGTTAGGGCACAACCCGCCATGGTGGCCCAGGGGCTGCCCTTTTCCCGGTCCTGTCCTACTTTCACCACCAGGTCACAAAGTCCCCGGGCAGTGACACAAACCTGGCCTTCTACCTGGCTCCAAAACCTGTTCCTTGCTAGCCCAGCGAGCTCAGCTCTGGCCACACCGTGGCAGCATTCATTCGCACTGTACGCCACGCTAGATGCTCTGCTGGGACCAGCAAAACTGGATCTCACATTCTCCCGGTGCCTGGGACGCCTTTTGCTTCTGGATTTTGGGCTGGAGCTGCTTTAATCACTCGGGGAGTCAAAGCTGAAGAAGATGGTCACAGCACGTGGAGATGTGGCCAGCCAAGAAGCAGGAAAGGGCAGGAGGTCCTGGCTGAGGGTGGGGGTAACTCACAGCCTGGGGCCAGGGGAACCTGCACGGCGTGTACCATGGACTGGGAGAGCAGCAAACCTCTTTTTGTTCTGACTTTGGCTTAGGGTGGACAATCTCAGCCCTCTGAAAGCAAAGCTCAGCATTGCAGCTCCTGGACCAACCCTCTGCTGTCGCCAGTGCAGGTGCTTTGCTCCCTACGAGCATCGTTCCTCAGTGCAGCAGAGTGGGGTGGGAGGAAAGGGCTGGCATCTACCACCTCCAAGTGCCAACCTCCTCTCCCTGCCTCCAGCAAGAGCTGCAGCCATGCCCCGCTGTCCTCCTCCAGGCACTGAGGGAGGACAAACCTTCTGCAGGGTGAGGAAGGGAGGAGAAGGAGGAAGGACACACAAGGTCACACGTGCTTTACCTTGCGGACAGCTTTTCTCTGTTAAAGGGGGCTGATGTCTTTCTGGGAGCGTGTTAACAGATTGCTTTTGGGGCTGGATTTTTTGCAGCAGGGCTGAGGTGCGAGCGTGTCAGAGCCCAGAATCACGCAGCATCTTTGCAGCCCATCTCACCTCCCTTCTCGCATGAGATGTCCTGGCAGAGACAGCTCGTGCCGCTGGCAGGTGGCACGGAGCCTACAGAGGGGAGGACAGGCTTGCCACCGAGATGCCACATGTACTTCTTTTGGCAGGCAGGTCACTCTCTGCTGGCACTTTCTGCTCCCGGAGGTGTGGAAGTGGCTGGGGTCTGCTGTCCCAGAACGGCTCATAAAACTGTGCTGAGGTGGAGCTGACACTCTCTGGGCTTTCAAGACTCCTCGGTGGGCACATCCTTGCCAAGGAGCGGGAGCCACCGTCAGCCTCCAAGTGATGCCTTCCAAAGGGGCTTTGTTATCAGGAGGTGCCTCCTGCGGCTGGGGTTGAAACCACTTCTCTCCCATCCTCGTTGCCTCCCAGCCTCACCCGGGAGAAGGTTCACGTGTTCACATCGTGCAAAGCTCTGGGATGCAGCCGGTCCCTGAATCTCTCCCACCAGCATCTTGGCTGCAGATGGTGTATCTCCTGGAAAGCCTTCGGGAGGACAGCCGGGCCAAGCAGCAGTCATTGCCAGGAGATTTTCCCTAGCACACACACCAGCCTGTGTGTTCAGTGCTTGGCTCCCCTGGGGAAGGGCTTTCATGCCAGCAAAAGTGGGGATCGAGCAAAAGGAGAGGGTCACAGGGAACAGGGAGCAGAGGAGGAGGCAAACATAGCGCAGCGGCTGTTTAGGAGAAGTCGTGACACGCAAATCAGAGACGTCCCACCCTTTGGATCAAAACAGAGACATTTGTACCCACTCTGCTTGGGGATGAGTAAAGTTCACAGGCACAGGGGCATCGCACGTCATCTGCCCCCAACCCAGGTCTGAACAACTCCAAAGGAAAGCCACGAAAAACGCAAGGATGCAGCCAAGCCCCAAGCTGGGGAAAGGGGGAGCCTGGGGGGAACGTCCCCCAGCTCTATTCAAGCAACAAGACGTAGCTATTGGCCAGCCCCCGCCACCTCTGCTCTCCCCCAAAACACCAAAAACGCAGATGATCACAAAGGTGGTGATTTCATGCAGCTGCAAAATGCCCTCATGAGAAGAAGGAGAAATGTGGAGTTCTGTTAAGAGCCACTGCAGGTTATAAAGCCATCGTACTTCAGTGGGGAAATCCAGGGGAGGGAAAGGGGGTGAAAAGAAACCGCCACAGGACAAAGAGAGAGAGCAAGAGGAAGAGGGAAGAAAAGGAAATCAAAATCATCATCATCATCATCAGGACACAACGACAGGACGAGAGACAGAGCGCTTTCCATGGGCAGTTCCCCGCGGAAAAGGAGCCACCGTGTCCGTGAAATACAAAACCCAGTGCCCTCCAGCTGGAGGGGGCAGCAGGCACTGGGACTGGTTTGGCATCCCCTTGGGGCGAAGGATCCAGTTAGGAGCAGAAAACCCTGCAAGGGAAAGGGGAGAAAGGCCGACCTTAGAAGGAGCAGTGAGGAACGTCTGGGGCTAAGGACTTGCCAAGGGATGGTGTCCTGGTCAGGATTGTACAGAGCCCTTTGCAGCTGGGTGAGGTGAGCAGGTGTATAACCTTTATCCCTACCCAGGGATGGGAAGCTGAGGTGCTCTGTACACATCCCTACCCAGGGATGGGAAGCTGAGGTGCCCTGTAGCACAGACCCCAGAGTACGTCCTGTGTTGGAGAAAAACTCCTACCAAACCTCAGGGATGTTGGGAAACCCACTGCGGGTCAACCAGGCCCTACATGGACCAGGTGGGAGCCCAGGGAAGGGATTGCACCCCAGGCTGCCAAGGGCCAGGACAAGGAGCAAGATCCACGCAGCTGCTCATCCTTTATATTAAATAATCCTCCTGCTCAGCCAGGGAAAATCCCACCGAGGCAGAGCTGAGCAAATGGCAGGACATGGTGGAGAAGAAACAAACACAGCAAATATCAAGCAAATGGCAGGACATGGTGGAGAAGAAACGAACACAGCAAATATCAAGTGGTTTTTTGTGTTTTTTTTTTTACTTCTTATGGTTGTTTTTACAACAGTGGAAAGAAAAGTCTCCAGATCTTTCCTAACTGGGCACGCAGCAGCCTGGAGACCTCTCCCATCATTGGGTACCACTCCTGGAGCCAGCCCCCCACCACTGGCGCTGGAGCTGGGGACAGCCACCCCTCAACAGGGATCATGGAATCATAGTCACAGAATGGTTGGGGTTGGAAGGGACCTTAAAGATCACTGAGTTTCAATGCCTCTGCCCTGGGCAGGGACACCTCCCACCAGCCCAGGTTGCTCCAAGCCCCCTCCAACCTGCCCTTGAACCCCTCCAGGGATGGGGCAGCCACAGCTTCTCTGGGCAACCTGGGCCAGTGCCATCCTTCCAGTTCATCACCCGTGGGCTCACTGGCAGGGAAGCAGGGGCAGGAATTCTGCTTTTTCCATCCCTGTTTGGATGGGATCATCAGGTCTGAGCACATCAGTACGGCGGGTGCAATAACCTGGGAAGGCTGGGGGGGATTTGTCCTAGCGAGGTGACAGCTCTTGCAGAGGGACTGCCAGGCAGCAGCCTCTGCTTCCAGAGCAGAAATCAAATATCTTTCCTCCCCCTCTGCTATAAGAAGGGCCGTGTGTGCAGAAGTCAAAGCTCCCGTCCCCGTCCCGCAGCCCACGCGCTTGGGAGACGATTGCAGGGGTGAAAATAAACACGTCAACTCACTCATCCGTATCTTTTTTGCTCTCCTCAATGAATGCAATAGACTCAGATCTAAGGCGGTTAGTCACTTCGTACGTACGCAGGGTGACTCCAAAAATATCCTCGTGGTACCGGCTGTCATCCTGAAACAGAGGGTGGGAGAGGGGCAGCGGGGAAAAAAAAATAAAAGGAGTATTTACAAACTGTTGTTGTCGCCGTGGCACCAGAAAGCTCTTGAGTTGTGGGTGGGTACCAAACACCCAGCAAGTGTTCTGGGGTCTGTCACAGGAGCTGGTAGGACAGGAACAAGCAGGGAGGAGAGATGACCTTCCCAAGGTCACACTGTGGGGCTGCTGGGTGGGTTAGACCTCCCCAAATGCTGGCAACCCAGGGGCTGCCTGGCTACCAGGGGGCAAGTAGCCCAAGTCCAGCCTGTGTATCAGAGCTTTTGCTTGCCAACCCGCTGAAAATGTGGATTTGGGCTCCCTCGGTCCCTGGAGGGAGTGGTGGGGAGGGGTAAGTCCGGCAGGAACTGGGCTGACTTGTCCTCCTGGGCAGAAGCTGAGCTGTTTGAGCATCTGTCCCCAGGTCTGTGCCCCAAACCGAGATCAGTTCTGCTTCAGCTGCAACATCTGCAGCAACGTGTTTGCCCAGGGGCAGCATTCCCCAGTGGGGACTTACCCAGGTGAACAAGTCCTATCTGGGCCACCAAGGGTCCCCAGAAGAGCTCTTGCCGGCGCTCAGCGCAGCACCAGGCTCAAGCAGAGGTCACCTCCAAGCAAAGCGAGGTCACCTCCACCCAAACCTTCAGAAGATCACACTCCCGACCTTGCCTGGCTGCAAGGGGGGGATCTTGCTGCATTTGTCCCCCCGTCCCCAGGCACGGTTCTCCTGGGTGCTGCCGGTTCTGCGGGAGGAGGCACCAGGTGCAGCGCCGGTGGCAGGAGCCGACACGGTGTCTGGTGGTGTGGATGGCCACCACTCACCCGCAGCTTGCTGATGAAAGCCCCTGCCTCCTCCACCGACAGCTGGCCCTGCTGCCTCACGATGCGCTGGATGGTCTTCAGGACGTCCCCGGCCATGGTGACATCCCCGCAGACGTAGACGTGGCCTCCCTGCTCCTTCAGTGCTTTGAACACGGTGTGGGCCAGCTGCTCCTGTAACACGTCCTGCACGTATTTCTGAGGGAGGAGGAGGAGGAGGAGAAGGAGGTGGGAGCTGAGATTAACTGCAGCTTCCCAGCCCCATCCACCTGCACGCTCTGACCAGCTTTGTGAGCACTGGCTGCCTCGGGGACAGCAGGGCAAAGCCACCCCCTCTTTGGGGGAGTGTGACCGCATCCTGCAGCCCCCATGATGATGGGGAAAGTAGCAAAGCAGCATTTTGCTCTTGCATTTTCACACCTTCACCATATCTCTCATTGCCAGGCCTGCTCAGGTGGGTAGTTAGAGCAGATGAGCCGACAACATGCGCTGGAGCCCAGAAACCCCCCGCCCCCTGGGCTGCATCCCCAGCCCCGTGGCCAGCAGGGCCAGGGGGGGATTCTGCCCCTCTGCTCCGCTCTGGGGAGACACCCCCCAGTGCTGCCTCCAGCTCTGGGGCCACCACCAGCAGAAGGACATGGAGCTGTGGGAGCGCGGCCAGAGGAGGCCCCGGAGATGCTGGGAGGGCTGGAGCCCCTCTGCTGGGAGGGGGGGCTGGGAGCGTTGGGTGGTGCAGCCTGGAGAAGAGAAGGCTCCGGGGAGACCTTGGAGCCCCTTCCAGTCCCTCAAGGGGCTCCAGGAGAGATGGGGAGGGACTCTGGATCAGGGAGTGGAGCCCTAGGAGGAGGGGGAAGGGTTTGACCCTGCAAGAGGGGAGATGGAGCTGAGATGTGGGGAAGAACTTGTTTGGTGGGAGGGGGGTGAGAGCCTGGCCCAGGTTGCCCCGAGAAGCTGTGGCTGCCCCATCCCTGGAGGGGTTCAAGGGCAGGTTGGAGGGGGCTTGGAGCAACCTGGTGTGGTGGGAGGTGTCCCTGCCCAGGGCAGGGGGTGGCACTGGGGGGGCTTTAAGGTTCCTTCCACCCCAAACCATCCTGTGATTCTATGTTTTACCCGTCCAGGGCAAAGCCTGAGCGACATGGGCACACTTTGGGGCTGGTGCAGGGATGGAGATGTGCCCTGGGAAGGGGGGTGCCCTGGGAAGGGCATGATCCTGCACACACACAACCAGAGAGCCCAGGGCATGAGCCACTGTGGCTGTGCCAAGGAACTGGCATCTCCACGCCATGCCAGCTGGCCATGGCCACCCAGGGTTGCACACCAGGAGCGGAGCGGTGCCTGCAACACACCTTTGGTTTGTCCGGTTCCCGGGAGTAGGCTGTGTACAGCTCTCTGAAGACACCTTGGGTTTTGGCAAAGAGCGTCTCCTCTTTGTAAATGTGGTCGATCCTGGATTGCCGGCAGCCAAATACCAGGACCATAGGACAAGGCTTCAGACCTGTGGAGGGGGAGATGGGAGAAGCAGTTAGCCTGGTAACCCCCAATACTGCCTTTTTGCAAGCCATCTCCCTCCACATCTGCCGGCAGCCCCAGCAGCCTGCAAAGACTGCCAGGAGCCTTCCCTGGCCAAACTGGGAGGGAGGGAAAGCCAGCAAGGAGGAGGTAACCCACTGCCTGAGCCTGTGCATGGTCCAGGGACACCAGCAGGGGTGTTTATGCCACGTTTTGGGGCGAAATTAAACTTTTTTTTTTCCTAAATGGTTTAAACGATCCATGAAAAATGAATCTTTTACGAAACTTTACATTAAATGACCTTTAAATTCGACACCAGCACTACAATACTGCCATAAAGTACTTGCAAAGTTTTACAGGAGGATTTTTGAGGAGTTTGGGCTGACCTCCCCACCTGCTCTTGGGACAGCCGCTGCGTCAAGAAGCCCTTTGGGTCTGCTGGGTCAGCCTGGGCAGGAGACTGCCTCCCCCATCCCCACCAGCCCAGGGCTCCTGAGCACCAACTGGGGTGAGAAACAAGAAGAACAGATATCGACCCACCTTTGTGCTGGATTTCGAAAAGTCGCTGCTGCCAGAAACTCCGGAAAGGGGCGATGCCGGTGCCGGGGCCGATGAGGATGCAGGGCACCTGGGGATCCTGGGGCAGGTGGAACCCGGGGGCACTGCACACATCGGAGACACCAGTTATTACCCAAGCAAGGATGCTCCCTCCCTCGCCTCTGCCCACCACAGCAAGCTGAGAAAACCTCTACCCAGAGCTGGAGGGGTAGAAATCCCAGAAAGTGACATTTCTTGCACCCGAGAGGGACCCGTTTTCTCACAACCCCAGCCCTGTGTAGAAATCCCAGAAAGTGACATTTCTTGCAGAGAGCTGCACCCGAGAGGGACCCATTTTCTCACAACCCCAGCCCTGGTTTCTCTGCACCCTTAGTGCTTTGCAAAGAAGACTTGAGGGTGAAGAGCTCATCCTGCAAGGGCGCTCACCCCATCTTTTTCACCCCTTGCCTTCAGTGGACCACTTACCCTCTTACAAAACAGGGCACTACTTCATCTGTCTGTATCCGATTGAGCCAAGAGGAGCAGACTCCGTGGTGGATCGGTCCTTCTCCATCTAGAAGGGCAGGGAAGAAGGTCTGTGCTTGACATACCCACCACCTCCTCCAGTTGCCTTCCTTTCGGAAACCCTCCCTGCTACATCCCACATGAACACCACACTGAAACATTGAGTATCTCTGCATCTGTTCTCCATGAACGTGGTAGAAGTTTGGCCCTTGGATCCCTCTGTGGAGCTGCCCAAGTTCACCCAGGACCCAACCCTGGGATAGCTGCACCTCCACAGCACTTAGGAAGCACCCAACTTCTCCTTGGTCCTTTTTGGTAGAAGCAGCATCATGTTGTGGTGCTTCTAGACACAAGCCCTCCAAGGCAGCCCCAGTGTCTTCCCCTGTGTCCTGCCTGATGCAGGTGTGATGGGCCTGTGCCCATTTCCACCATGACCAGGGCACATCACTGCTTGCACAGGTACAGAAATCTGGCGAGTTGTGGCAATGTGGACTTTGGTGTGGGCAAACAAATGATCTCATGTGGAGCTTGGAGCCACCATGGCTGGTCTGTTGCTGGTACCTGACCCAGATCTGGCTTCTCTGCAATACCCTGCCCTTTGGTAGATGGTTATTCTTCATAACATGGGACAGCATGTTACGGTTGAAGGAATCTAGTCACTGCAGCAGGTAGTAAGGCTTTAAAATAACATCTCTCTGCCAAGGACCTTGTGGTGCTGCTCATGTGCCAATGATTTTCCCTTGCTCCCCACACCACGCCTGTCTCCGCTGACCCCTGCATGAGCATGGTACCTCTCGTGCGATAGGAGACCACTGCCACGGTGAGGTGGACCTCACCCGGGTACATCTCTGGGGAGGAACTGATGGAGTAGTAGCGTGGTTGGAGGAGGGGGAGCTGAGTCAGCAGCAGCGTGGAGGGCATCTGCACTGAGGGGAACTCCTCCAGAACTTCCACGATGGTGGGGTTCTTGGACCACTTCCATTCCTCGTATTCCTGCAAGCCCTGCAGCAAAGGAAAGAGGGAGGGAGGGAGTGAGGAGAGAGCTGCAGCATCAGCCTCTTCCAAGCCAGGTGCCTTTACTGATAGCCCACCAGGCCTACGGCAAAGCTGGGGTGGGTGGCAGTGAAGACAGGCAGGAGGAACCCTGCTGTCATGGGTAGAGACTCAGCTCAACCACAATGTGGGCTGAAAATGCCCTGGGCTTGTGGTAGTCACCAGGGGCTTGAGAAACTTGCGGGTTGGGGTCTAAGGCTTTACCTTGCTAAGGACCTGTAGACGTTTCTTTTCCTTGTCACTGGTGGCCAACAAAGCAAACTGCTGCAGCAGCAGGGGTGTGGGAGGGGTGGTGATGTCCAAATAGTACTTAAAAGCCTGGAAGATGGTGCATGGTGGGACCCGGTTCTCATCTGTCCAGTTACTGATGACACCTGCCAGGAAGAAATTCAGCACAACCGTGGGATCAGATGAGCGTAAGAGCCAAGGTGGACAAATCCTTGCTTTCGTACCCCCTTATCAGCTCTGAGACAGTGAATGATGAAGAGCTGGAAAGAAGAGTCAGTGAGATATCCTCATGCTACAAGTGAGATGCTCTACGATGATCACAAATATGGGTCTGATACTCCACCACCTTCAGCATCGATCACTCTGAGTTAACACTGTTTTCCATCTCTGTAACACTGTGCATGGCAGTAGGGTATCAGACTTATCCATGAAATACACTGTTGGGATGGTCCATCAAGATGCCTTAACTCTTCTTTCCAGTCCTAGACATTGTTCTTTTCATGAGAAAATAAATGCCTTTAATTTTTCTGAAAAACAAGGAAATATCTTCTCTCCAGGGCCCTGCTCATTCTTCCAACCCTTGCTCTACACCCCAAATGCAGATGAACAATGGCTCTGGGCAGAGGAAGGTTGAAGGAGGTGCTCCCAGTCCGGGCAAATGCACCAGTGAGATGGGAAGTGATTTCTACTGCCCCAAGGAGGTACAAGAACCACTACAAGGGATGGGTGAGGAGGAGAGAGGCCACCTCTAGGTAGAGGTGACCCTGGTTACCTAAAGCTGTGTTCCTCTCCTCCAGGAGCTCCACCTTCACCAGCTGATTGGCTGGAGGAGCATCTTCAAGCCTGTCAATCAGGGCATTGACCAAGTCTTCATGGTTCCCTGGAAACACCCCCAGGTGGTCCCCAGGCAGGTACTGCAGTTCCTGGTGTCCATTGGTGTTGAGGCGCAGGAAAATTGTCAAGCGACTAGAGGGAAAGGAGAAAAAAGCAGGATGTGCTTTGGGCAGAGTCCTTCAGGGAGTCACTGAGCTCTGGCCTCAGGAGCCACTGGGCGTGCTGGGCAGTGGTGGCATGTCTAAACCCTGGAGCCCCACTGAGCATGTCACCAAAGTCACAGCAAGGAGCTAGAAAGGACACTGCAGCGTCCACCTCCCCTCAGGGACTTTTTAGAAGGGTAAACCAGTTTACCCTCTTGCTTCAGCAATTTTATCCGTTCTTTGCGTGCACCCTGCTGCTCCACACATGGGGCCACCCATCCCCCCACCCTCACAGCCAGCAGGGTGATGCATGTAGCACCAGAGATTTCACCATATGAGGAGGCAGGAAACACCCTCCAGGGGGTTAAGGTGTCTTCCAGCCTTGGTGATGATTGGCACAAGAACAGTACCCACGGGACATTCAGGGGCCAAGGGGTGTTTGTGTGCAGGGATGCTTGGGTCCTGCAGGTCCCGGGGCAGCACCATTTCCTACCTGGACTTTGGGCTCTGCAGGTTCTGGCGTGAGATAAGCCGGGCTGCATAGACACGTTTTTTGTGGATGCTGTACAGTCCTGTGGAGGAGAAGAGCCTGTGAAGCAATGCAGCAGAGCGTGGCCAAGCCAGGTGGCTTCTGGCTTTTGCTGGGCTGTTGGCCACCACTGTGGATCCAGCTCATCAGACCTGAGCTGGCCGACACCACCAGCAGCAAGGGGACTGCGGGCTCCACCACCCTCCTCCCTCCATCTCCTGCAGAGCTTCAGTGAGCTTAAGGGGGGGTCAGAAACCCCAGGGGGAAACCAGACATGTGTCCCTCTTGTTGGTGACCAAGGAGGACTTGGGAACCCACCCACAGGAGGCTTGGGGACGTGCCCTCACGTGCAGGCAGGCACCTCTCGCTGCCAGTGCCACCTGGCTGGTAGCAAAGTGCCTGAATCTGGGAAGAGCGAAGCCGGTGCGGCAGCTCATCAGCTGCAGGAGCCGTGCTGAGGGGCCAGGTGTCGGTGGGCTGGACCTGCCATCGCTCCGCAGCGCTCGGCCGAGCGGCATTTGGACAAAGAGAGCTTGGAAAGCTCCCAGGTTTCCAGCTCTCTGCTTCAGAAAACGGGGTCAGGAGGAGGGAGATCAGACTGGAGCCCAACGCCTCCGTTACAGCTACAGGCAGGGACCAACCAGAGGGGCTTGAGACCATCACAAACTGCTCCTGGGGCATGCGATGGAGGGGACTTTCAAGACTGAAATGCTGGGATTTTATCACAAAATAAATAAGGAGATTTGGTGCCTTTTCCCCCACCTGCTGTGTCTTCTCCTCCACCTGCCCCACACCTAGAGTTCCCCAGATGGCGACCCCCATCTTTGTACCTTGTGTGAGTTCTGGGGCTTCAGCCACGTAGGTCAGGCGGAACTTGCTCCTCTTCCAGCTCCGGTCGTTGCTGATGAGGGAGTTGTTTGCTTTCTCGATGTTGACGTCGTCCCCCACGCAGAACACGTCGCACGCTGCCTGCAGCACACACCAGGCTCTCAGGCATCACCCTGAGCCCCACAACCCACCTTGTCCCACCCCACCTGCAGCCAACACATGGAGGAGGCAGCCCCAGTGGTGTAGGACTGGACCGGTGGCCATGGGCATCTCTTGTGGTGCCCTCCACCCCCGGCATCTGGGATTAATGCAGGAATTCAACATAGTGCCCACCCTCTGGCAGTCAGCACAAACCAGAGTGTCAGCTCCACCAAAAGATGGAGAACCTCTTTGTTGTGGGCCAGAGTGATGGTCAGGTGTCCCGGTGTAGGGAAGAAGAGGCTGGGTTCCACCAAAATGTGGAGAACCTCTTTGTTGTGGGCCAGGGTGATGGTCGGTGTGACCCAGTGTAGGGAAGGAGAGGCTGGGTTCCACCAAAATGTGGAGAACCTCTTTGTTGTGGGCCAGGGTGATGGTCGGTGTGACCCAGTGTAGGGAAGGAGAGGCTGGGTTCCACCAAAATGTGGAGAACCTCTTTGTTGTGGGCCAGGGTGATGGCTGGTGTGACCCAGTGTAGGGAAGGAGAGGCTGGGTTTTGATCCAGCTGTAACCAGCAGCTTTGCTCTGCCCCTGTTTCCTTCTCCCCCCTGCTCCTCCTCCCTGGAGCACAAGGGAAGCGAGTTACCTTGAAGACCTTCTTGGCCCAGGTCCTGAAGGACTCCTCCTGGCCACAGAGTTCATCCCCTTCTCCCATGCGGAGGATCCTCTCTCCACCCAGCTCCTCCAGGAGGGTGTCCACCGCCCGGGCAAAGGCGCAGAAATGGGGGTAAGCACGTGACCCCAGCCCAAACACGGAGAACCTGTGGAGAGGTGGCACAGCTGTGGCTAGCAAGCTGGGAGGGACACCGACATGTCCCTCCTCCACCCCATGGCCAACATCAACATGAGGGAGCATGGAGGGATCTGTGCTTTGCAAAAATACACCATGTTTTAGGTAAGAGCTGTGGTCGGAGAAAGGGGCTCTTGTGCAGCACCAGCTCCTGCTCTGTCCCTTCTGCAGCAAGAAATTGCTGCCTCCCTCCCCCGTGATAAAATAAATAGGATTATTCACCTGACATTAGCCAGGGGCCCCGTGCTTTCGAAGTTGTCCCTGGAGTCAGGGCCATCGCTTGAGGATTTCCGCGCATCCGAGTAAGAGGAGACGCTGTTGAAACGGACCTTGTAGCTCCTGTGAACAGGAACAACACCAAGGATTAGCAGTGGTGACAGTGGTGATTAACAGGCGACACCTCTGAGGGTGGTGAGACCCTGACCCAGGTTGCCCAGAGAAGGTGTGGATGCCCCATCACTGGAAGTGTTGGAGACCAGGTTGGAGGGGGCTTGGAGCAACCTGGTGTGGTGGGAGGTGTCCCTACCCAGGGCAGAGGGTGGCACTGGGTGGGATTTAAGGTCCCTTCCAACTCTAACTATTTTGTGATTCTATGAAATACACAAGTGGTTCCCACCAGGCTGCGTGCTCCAGACTATGGAGGAGACCAAACCAGAGCAGGCTCAAGCTCAGGGCTCAATACTTCATGAGCAGGTACCATGATCAGAGGAAGGTGCTCCTTCCTGGGGGGAAGACATAGCAGCCCATACATTGCACCCCTCAGCTGGACCTGGTCTGCTCCATGAGGTCCTCCTGCCACTCTCAGGGGGTTGACCCAGGTGTTGGCCACCACACTGTCCCCAGCTATGCAGAGCTGGCAGAACCTTTGGCTCTAACTGTCCTTCCCTGGTTGCACACAAGGTCGGGTATATGTCTGAACAGATATTCTGAAGGTTTTTTCATTCATAAGAAGCCAAAAAAAAAAAAAAAAAAAAGGAGTGAGAGCAGAGGGGATGAGGAGGGGGAAGGGGAGTGGAGGAAAAAAATCTGTCAACAGCAGAAGTATTTCTGAATTGAACCATCTTCAAAAATTGCTCTACACAAGAGTTTCTAAATATACTGCCGGAGCAATGAAGCAGTAGTGTGTGGATGAGTCACAGCAGACCTCCTGCACCCTGCGCGCCACGCAGAGGAGACAACCCCGCAGCAGAATATCTGCAGGGTCAGAGATCCCCCTGCTCCACCTCTGCTCCAGAGCCTCCTCCCTTCTGCCCGAACCTCTCCTGCTCTTCTGCTCCACTCCGTCTGGATGGAGCCACTTCTTTCTCCGCTGCCCCTGGGCTGTGTCCTCACCCCAGGTGATGTGGTGATGACAGGGCAGGACAACCCACCGGTTTAGATGGGCACGAAGCCCAGGTTCCACCCTGGGGCGCTGGGACCAAGGTGAGGGTACCATCAGCTTTTCCTGAAACGGATAGATCTTTGTGGCAGAGGAGGACTGCTGAGGGGTGAGCTGCATTTGAATGCCTTAGATAGGAAGAACTTATGAATGCTTCTGAAAATACTTGGAAAACCCTTGCTGCGAGACAGAAGGAACCGAAAAAATCTGTCAACAGCAGAAGTATTTCTGAATTGAACCATCTTCAAAAATTGCTCTACACAAGAGTTTCTAAATATACTGCCGGAGCAATGAAGCAGTAGTGTGTGGATGAGTCACAGCAGACCTCCTGCACCCTGCGCGCCACGCAGAGGAGACAACCCCGCAGCAGAATATCTGCAGGGTCAGAGATCCCCCTGCTCCACCTCTGCTCCAGAGCCTCCTCCCTTCTGCCCGAACCTCTCCTGCTCTTCTGCTCCACTCCATTTGGATGGAGCCACTTCTTTCTCTGCTGACCCTGGGCTGTGTCCTCACCCCAGGTGATGTGGTGATGACAGGGCAGGACATCCCACCGGTTTAGATGGGCACAAAGCCCAGGTTCCACCCTGGGGCGCTGGGACCAAGGTCAGGGTACCATCAGCTTTTCCTGAAACGAATAGATCTTTGTGGCAGGGGAGGACTGCTGAGGAGTGAGCTGCATTTGAACGCCTTAAATAGGAAGAATTTATGAATGCTTCTGAAAACACTTGGAAAACCCTTGCTGCGAGACAGAAGGAACCAAATTTACAACCATAGCAAAACCCCTGGGCTGTGGTCAGAGAACTTCAGCCACAGTGCCTGGCAGGCTCCTCAAGCCACTGATCCCTGCTCTCGGGGATCTCAGCCACCCTCAGCATCCCCTGGTGATCGTGGAGCCAGGAGTCTGCGGGGTGCACAGGCAGGAGCTGCTCTATCCAGCCCTTTCCTACTGCCCTTCTTCCCCAGACAGTCTCCTCCAGGCCACCTTTTCTCATTGCAAAAGCTTTTTTTTTCATGCATAACGTCAGCATCTCTTCCTACCATCCAAAGCCATGACCTCTTGGCCTGTCCTGGGGTGGGCAACGGGGGAGCAATTTATTCCCTCCACCTCTGCAGTCACCTTTTCTGCCGCGCTGCACTTCTGTCTCCTCTTCTCCAGATAAAATAGCTCTCACCCCTTTGATCCGTCCTGGCAGGTCACAGTTTCCAGCACTCTGATCACTTTTGCTGTCAGGTAACCAAGCCACAGGCTCTCCTGGCTCTTAGAAACTCCTGCCAGCCCCTTAAATTACATTTCGAGGTGACTGGGACCAGCAGTCACCTGAAACGGCGAGCCAGCAACCAAGCTTGGGTGTTTTTTTGTCCTCCTCAAATCTGCCTGCCTTGCCATGGGTGGCACCTCGGCACCCAACCCCACATTCCACCAACCCAGCCTCAAAAGATGAAGGTCCTTGGGGTGGGAATGATGTGGGAATGCCACTACTCCATCCAGACACCTCCAGGTTTTGTCAGTTGTCCCCATTAAGATGTCGAGGCCAGAAATCTAATGGGTTTTAGGCTGGTGAGCCCTGTGGGGATCCATCAGATGACTTGCCTGCACAGCAAGGAGACCACTTCAGGGCTGGCGTGTTGCCAGCGGTGGGGAGGTACAAAATCGGTACAAAATCAGTACAAAATCAGTCCCTGCCCTGCCCTGTGGTGTTCTCCACTGCTCTGCAGCCCCACTGGCACTGCTCCGTACCCTCAGAATCAGGGTGGCTAAATGGCACCACCAGCCAGCACTAATTCTGCCTTAATTAAGGAGCAGCCTTTTGCCAGTGTGTTCACACAGGAGAGACTCCAGAGCAGAGCAGTGTCCCAGTTAAGCAAAATATATTGTACTTAATAGCTAAAATAACAGGAGGCCCCAAATGATTAACACTTTCCCGGCTGCCCTCACTTCCCAGCCTCTGGGATGCGCAAGGAGATGCTCGAGGCTCATCTTCCACCGACGGGGGATTTTCTAAAAACCCCAACCCTGTCTCCAAGGTACCAGTTCCAGACTCACTGTTACAACACATCACAGCCAGAATTTATAACAGCTCTTATTTTCCCCTAGAAATATTTTCACATGATGCAAGAAGTTAAATTTGGTTCTTAAACCCTTCCCCACCTACATTCACATGGCTGGGAACTCCCTTCTACCTCCAACTCTTGCTATTTTGGTGTCTCCTGGACAGGCTCAGCTCTACGATGATTTGGGGGGAATTCCTGCTTTTGTTTTGTTTTGTTTTTCATAGATGCCTTCCTCTTACAGCTGAAGGGAGAAGCTTTAAAATGCCAGCCCATGGGGTTACAAGCTGGAGTCCACAGGGATGCCTGACTCAATGCTTTTGTCCTCCCTGGGACCTCCACCTGCTCCATCCCCTGGTTCTCCAGGCAGGTCCCATCCCTTGGACCTTTGCAAATTTGAAACCTGCGTGAGGATTTCGCACTCTCTTCTGAGAGGAGGAAAGCTGCCTTCTTGCCAGGGTTGTGAGCAGGAAGGGAGGGTTTTGGGGTGCTCTTACTTCCTCTCCTCCAGGTTGGAGTTGGGATTCTTCATCTCCATTAATGCGCAGCCAAATTTCTATAGAGAAGAAACAAAAAACCAAACAGTTTTGCCAGTGACTGCGGCTCTGCTCTCTGTCTGCTGTTCCCAGCAGCCTGCAAGGCTGTTGGACTGGGCTGGACGAGGTTGTAGGTCCCCAGCCAAGGATCTGACACCTTTTGTGTGACACTGACATCAGTTGTACAGGATGAATTTAATAACAGATTAGTTTCTTGTCTCACAGCAGGGAACAAGTAGATTCCTGCCATTTCGGAGCAGGCAGGCACAGCGCTAGGTACCACACAGCACCAGGAGCTGCTTTGGGCCATTCCAGCTCCAACTGAGCAAAAAGAGGACACGCTCCCATGTCCCCACCTCTCTCCTGCCCATGTCCCTGCCCCAGTCACCCGTCCCAACACTCTGTCCTCTATACCTCTCCATTCTCAGGTGGGTCTCCATTTCCAAATGTGCTTGTGACCACCAGGACCATGGTTTCATGCTCTAGGTGCACGATGTCGTACTCGTCCATGGACATCACCTGGGAGCAACAGAGATGTTAGGAAGAGTGCCCCAGTGGGGAGCTCTACCACCAGCCAGTCTCCTGAGATAGAGCCCAGTCCACTTGGGATGGGAGCAGCATCTCCTTGCTGACTCCATGCCAGTGCACTGGCAGAGATCTCAGCCTGGAGAAGAGATTAGAGCCCCTTCCAGTCCCTAAAGGAAAGCTGGGGAGGGACTCTGCATCAGGGAGGGGAGCCCTAGGAGGAGGGGGAAGAGTTTGACACTGCAAGAGGGGAGATTGAGATGAGATCTCAGGAGGAAATTCTTTGGTGTGAGGGTGGTGAGAGCCTGGCCCAGGTTGCCCCAAGAAGCTGTGGCTGCCCCATCCCTGGAGGGGTTCAAGGGCAGGTTGGAGGGGGCTTGGAGCAACCTGGTGTGGTGGGAGGTGTCCCTGCCCAGGGCTGGGGGTGGCACTGGGTGGGCTTTAAAGTCCCTTCCAACCCAAACCATTCTGTGATTCTATGATCTCCACATAGGAAGGATGAGAATAAGAGCCTTAAGGGACATGGACAAACCACGAAGCTACTCCCTGAGGGCAGAAGAGAAATGTATACCACAATGTCTGCAGGAGCACTAGATGGAAATGCTATTCATGTGCAGGCTTCAATCCATACCCACAAAGTCACATTCTGGAAGCTTCTGAAGACCCTTGGCAGCTGGGAAGCTCTACACGTGTTAAGCCACGTATTTTCCAACAGTATTCCATGTATTTCCTTGAGTCACCAACTGCACACATGCAGGGGCTGGGGGCTAGTACAATACCTTGGCATCGAAAGCGTGCTTGAAGATTTCACACAGAGTTTTTGCATAGACCTGTGACTTCCCTGTTTCGGTGGCGTACAGGATGGTCGCTTTGACCCTCTTGGCCATAGCCTGTCCCATCAGCTTGGCTGAGAACTTCACAGCCCTAGGAAGCAAGAATAAATCATGGTAAGACAGCTTGCTTCCTTATCAGTGCCTCCACCCTGGGCTATTCACACCATTTTATTTATTATTGATGAAAAGACTGCCTTAAAAGCTTGCAGCATCACTTTTTTGTTGTTGTTATAGGTCAAACAGCGAAACTATGGAAGAAAGTGTTCGTCTTGACTTGTCAGAGAGGAAGGCTGGGTGGGGGAGCTTGAACATAGAGCTGAAATACCTGAATGGGTTAAGGAGGAAAACGCTAAACCAAGTTTGGAGGTGGTCTTTCTGCAGGGACAGAGAAGAAGAAGAAGAAGAAGAGGAAGAAGAAGAATCAGAGGCAGCAGTTTGCTGAAAGAGGCAACCAGATAACCTCAAAGGAAAAGCTGGAGACGAACCAGAGCCCAAGTTATGGAAGGAACAGTGGCTCCTCCATCTCTTTGTGTCTTTAAATCCTATCTGGCTGCCTTTCTACCAGAGGTGTCCTAGCGGAGCAGAAGCACCTGGGCTCCACACATCACACACAAAGCCTCGGGACACTGAGAAGGTCAGGTGAGGCTGTCTGTAGTCCCTTTGATTTGCACGCCAGCGGTACTATGAACTTTACCCCGAGGAGCAGCCCTCCTGAGGCTGAGGCACATCTCTCTGAGTGTTTGCAGGGCTGTGTCTAGCCGGCTGCCTCCCGTGGCTGCAGTCGTGACTGGATGCATTTCCTCCAGCTCCGACAGCAGGGCAGAGGGGCCCCGAGAGGTCACCAGCCTCTTGAATCCTGGCCAAGGTGATGCAGCACCAGAGACACTGGCTCCTTATCTACACTAACACTGCTGGGTGGGTTGGCATCTGTGGGAGCAGGGCAATGGGGGACAAAGGGGGTTGTCATCAGCCAGCTTTGGGTTGCACAGTGGGGCACCGAGCCCAGTGTGTCCAGTTTATTATTTTAAGGCCATTCATAATCACCGAATTTGGACATCAACATTATCTGTCCTAAGTGCAGAATATCTTCACCTTCTCTAAATGGACCGTCAAGCCTTTAAATGGGGCCACCAGAAAGGCAGGTCTGGATTTAGCCTGGAGGGTTGCAATAGGGAAGGGGCAGTTTTGGGGGGGGCACAAAGCGTCTTGGTGACAAGAATAAGGGCTGCTTGATTCACTTCCTCAGGGTGATCAGCTCTTGTCCCCAGTGACCAAGTTCAGCAGGACTCCTGCATCCCCTGTGGGGAACAGAGATTGCAGCTGGACTGGTTACACTGGCAGGAGAAGAGAAGCCCAAAGAGAAGCCCAGATTTGCCCTGCCCCTCCTGCCAAGGAGGGGAGAAACACTCTAGGTTTGGAAAATCCATTGGAAAAAAAAAACAGGGAGGAAAGAGGAGGTAGAAGCCCCACCAGGCTGGGATGTTCTGCCTCCCCATGTTGAAGTCAGCCTCAGGAGCATTGATATTTGCTGCCAGATAATCACTCCTCAGTGTAGTTCTGCTTATTAAAGTTGCCCCTGTACTTTCCCATGACGGTGGTGGCCCCTGGCCCCAGGGCTCACACTGTTCCTGGGGGAGGGAAAGGGCAGGAGGAGCAGGGACTGCAGGTTTGAAGGCTCTGATTTGGCCAGAACAGGCACAGCCTGTCCCAACAGGCATCAAAATCACCCTGCGACCAGTGCCAGGGGCAGCACCAGGGACTGCTGGGCTCCGTCCACCACTTGTTCAGCTGATTAGCTCAGATCCAGGCAGGATTAATGGAGAATTACAGAAATAATTCCTCCCCCACTACGTTGGGAACAATTGAGATTATTTTTGTGGTTTTTTTTTTAAATTACCTGCCATACTCGCATTTTTATAAAATCATTTATCAATCACACACACACACACAGAGAAATGAAAGCATTGTTTCTTCTGACTCAATGGCTCAATTAATCTTCCCGTGGTCTCCACCAGCTCCGGGCTGGAGCCCAGACCCAGGCACTGCCTGAGGAGCACATCCATCAGCTGCTGGTCACCTTTAGGGATGCGCCGTGGAAAACCGCTCCCAGGAGGTGACAGCTGAGGAGTGGGAACAAACTGAGAGTAGGGACTCGGGGAGACTGCAGCGTGGGGAGATGCTGTGAGCAGCACGAGGCCACCTGGCAGCCTGGCCACAGACACCGGGGCAGACCCAGCCCTCCCCAGTCTTGGTCCAGTGCTCTGCTGCCGCGGAGCCAGCAGCTCCTACAAGAACCTCCCTGCCAATGGCCCACGGGGGAGGAACTCAGTCCAGGAGCAGCCAAAGGGTCCAAATTACCCTTCATTCCTACACCCCTGCTGACTAGGAGCTTTGGCAGGGGAGAAGGACTCACATGGCCCGTTACTCAGGGTCAACTGGCCATGAAGTGCAAACCTCAGCTCGGCCCTGATCCATCTGCTGCCTGTAGGGAGATTCCTCATTCCTATCTCCCCCCTCCTTTGCAATGTGGGTGTTCAGAGGTTTAGACGTGCACTGGAAACACATGCTCCTCAAGAAGCTAAAGAATCAGGGATAAAAAGAGAAATATGGACACAAGCTTCATCTTGCTTGTGCCAGCATGACCCTGAACAGTGATGGGTGATCTCTCTGCCCCAAGAGGCTGTGACAGGAGAAACAGGCAATATAACCCCAAGAAGTGAGAAAATCATTCCTTGGCATTGAAGACAATCTTACTGGAGAATGAACCAGCTTGGGAAAAGAGACTATACACAAGATCCAGTGTTCACCTGGTCACACACCTCTGAGTGGTCCAATGAGGTGTCCAAAGGACTGCCTGTTTCTCCAAATGTCACTCTTGGCAGCTAAAGCCTTCAGAGACCTGAGATCCAGGCTCACAACCCATCAGTTGGCACACATCCGTAGGGTGGTGCCATTGAACAGCTCAGCAAACAGAACTGCCCAAAATCAGGACCAGCCCCAAGCACTCCAGGGCTTTTCAGAGCCCAATGGCACTTACTTTGCTAACTTCTTAAAGCCAATGGCCCTCTTCTTGGTAGGCGTCCCATTGACCCCTTTCCAGACGTGGGTGTTCCAGGGGTCCGGCTAGGAGAGAGAAGAGCAGCAGTGGTGGATGGGCAGTGGTCAGACCTTCTAGAAAGTGCTGTGTCCACAGCTCTGAGCACCAAATTACTCTGGTCACCATGGGGAGAACTAGCTGACCTCTGCCCAGCTCTTGATCTCAGCGTCTTGTGGAGGTCCCTGATCCTTGGAACCCCGTGGATTTCTTAGGGGCAGTTGGGCAATGGAGCATGCACAGAAAAATTGCAGTAGAATAAAACCTCGCTGGCTTTATAACAAGCATCTGGCCAAATGCCTTCTCACCTCTTGAGAAGGGTGTTAATAGACCATGAGCGTTTAGAAAGCAAGCAACGCCAGAAGGGGAGGAGTGATGGAAACACAACCTTCCTGCTCCTCAGCCCACAGGTTTGTTTTTTTCCTAAGAAGCCCTTTGGGAAGGGGAGGCAGCTGAAGCGAGGAACAAGCACACAGAAGCTAATTCAGGTCCCTCGCAGGCGGCTGTCTGTAATCAGGGCCAGGAACCATCGGGGTTCCTGCTGGATGGGTTATAGAAACGAACAGACTGCTCCTGGTTTGTGATTGTTCCTTAAGGGCTCTTGACTAAAGGTCACATTGTGTGAAAACCATCGGAGCAGGGATGGTTGGCTAATGAGGATGTGTTTGCTTAGGGGCCTTTTTCCCATGGTCTGAAGTGTTAAATACTCCAGCACTGGCAGTTCAGCCCACTGCTGGGCCTGCTGGGGAGGACCTCCCCCCTGTACCCGCCATCAAACTGTTGGCTCTCCAAGCTGGCAGGAGCCTCCACTCAAACCTGCAGGCTGCGGGGAGGAGGGGTACAGTGACTACCAGGCCATTTCCACATCTAGCTATCAAAGTGCAAAATGAGGCACTTCCAAAGGGAGGAGCTCTGGTCAGTTCCACTTCCAAGGGTAAAAGCTGGGGCCTCAGCATGTTCCCATGTCCCCATGGTGGGGCAAACAGCCATTGCCCTGGGAAAAGGTGGAACATGCAGGGGGTCATTACACCACATTAGGGGTAGTCATGACCATCAGGGTGGAGTCATGAACAGTAGATGGAATTATGAAGTCCATGAACTTATTCATGGACTTAATTGCCTCAAGGGACAGCTTGTTGAAGGGATTAGATGGTGTCCCTCTCCCTCCTGAGTCTTCTCAGCTCCGGCTCCCACCCTGCTCTTGGCTGTACCTTTGGGCATGCAGCACTGGTGGAAGGTGAGGTGCAGACAGTACCTGGTACTCAAAGGAGGGTGTGAGACGGTAGTTGAGCATTTCCTGGTGGAAAACTGGAGTGATGCTGCCAGACATTGGCGGGACAATCCACACCCAGTCAGCTGGACAGCCTCCACGGCATCGGTACTCATTCTCCATGTGCTTGATGAAGGACTCAGTGGCTGAATGGTGATCCACAATGGTCACCTTGTCGCTCTGTTGGAGGGAGAAGAGAGCGGAGCCAACAACGGTGGGTTAATAACCCCCAGAAGGCGAAAGCCAAAACTCTACATTTTCAGTTGTTTGACCCAAATATACCTCACTCCCATGGTCTTACAGGACTGTCCCTTTGGAGATGACATGAGGTGGCTGCTGACCTTGGTCTTCCCAAGGAGCACAGTCACTGAACAATGCCCTTTTCCAGGGCTGAGAAGCTGCCCTTGTCCTTCCTGAGTGGATGCACTATGGGGTGGCTGTTCCTCCTGTTATTTGTCATGGGCCAAGCAAAGACTAAGATGGCATGAATGGGGTGAAGCATCCCCTGCCCAGCCCCTTGGGGAACTCTCTCATGGCTGGCACAACTCAAGGAGAAGTCCCGATCCAGCTCTGGGAAGGGCTTCCACCCTCTGAAATTGAGTTGCCAAGGTCTAGTTTTGCTGCTCAACCACTTAAAGTGCAAGTGGGAGGAAAACCTGGGCCAATTCTTGCCTCACTGGTGGGCTAGAAGAGCTGGATCTTGCCCCCTTGGGGAAATCCCTCTGGACGGGCAGAGCTCGGATGCTGGTAGTGATGTCTTTGCAACATCCAGGGCACAGAGATTATTAAATTTCACTGCAGGCTCCTGGAACAGCCCGAAACTAGGAATGCACAGCACAATTTCAGCTGAGTGTATCAGCTGCTGCTATTGTCCTTGGGCACATGTCTCCATCCTTGTCCCATCCGATTCTTGTGTCGCTCAAGCCTGACCCAAACACAACAGAGTCCTGCTGTACCTGGAAGCTGTACAGCACAGCAATATTGATCTCCACCAGGGCCTGGTCCTTCCACAGCGAGGAGGTTTTCCTCATATCCAGATTCATTTTCTTGGCCACTTGCTGTAACAAAACATGGTAGAAGATGAATGGTTTTAATGGCCAAGAACCATGGACTGAAGATCCTCTGTTGGGGAGAGGAATACAGAGGAGGAACTCAGAGGAGGCTCACACAAAGCACCTGCAGGGCAAGGCAGCACAGTTGCAATGAAGGGCTGATGTTTTGCCTTCCTCTGAGAAGTTATGGTCCAGCCTTTTCCTCTCCATGACAGGAACAAGGCCAGTCTGGCCTCCCTCCTTCCCTCCCCGGCACAGGAAGATGACTAAATGCTCCTGAAAAAGGCCATCAAGGCCATTTGTTCTTTGTGGGAGGAGAGGAAATGGGTGGGTCCGTGAGACAGCAGGAGATGGTGATCCATGTGCTGGGAGGAACAGACCCCTGCAGCCCCTCCAAGTAACAGTGTGCCCCATGGAAGCACCAAGGAGTCACCCTTGGTGGGTACAGATCCCCTGCACCAGCACCTCCTCATGGCTTGGCTTTGTCTCTGACTCACCCTGTCTCCAGTGTAGAAAGCCCCAAGCCATGGCAGAGTGCTCCAGAGGAGCCTGCTGGAGGGTCCCCATGAGCAGGCATGTCCCTGGGGAGTCACCAAGTGCCTCAGCACCTTCTCGGACGTGCTACACCTTCGCACTTGACCTCAATCAAGCACATGACCAGGTGCCTGCTGATCCATCAAATGCTTTGAGAAGTCTATGGGGAGCTCAACAGGCCTCACGCTCGCTGTGTTAGATACCAGCTGGCCCCACAGGACACAAAGACACTTGCCATCCCATCAAACCCTTGGCCATGTGGCTCCAGGAGAATGTAACTGCCCTATCTAAGGAAGACATGGAGATCCTGTCCTCTCCCACTCAAAACAACACTCTCCCAGTGTTCTGCCTGCTCCCTGGGAGCACCTACCCTCCTCGAGGAGGGGGGAATTACCTCCAGTATGTTGTAGCGAGAGTTGTCGCAATAGTCTCGGACCCCGATCTCTGTGCCCATGTACCAGCCGCTGAAGGGGCAGGCGGAAAACTCCAAGCCACCGATCTCCAGGAGCATGTTGGAAACTGCTGGCAAACCATACCACTTCAGGCCCAGGTCCTTAAACCACTCAAACCTGCAGGGATACAACAGGGTCAGGCAACCAGTGAGGCCTCCCCTGCCCAGCGCAGGCAGGGGAAGGAAGGAGGTTACTTTGCTACCAGCCACCAGGTTGAAGGATATGAGAGCAGGATGGTTCTTGGAGGCAATATCTCCCCCTTAGGGGTTGCTTGTGGGGAGAAAGTGATGTATCAGGAGCATTTCAGAGTGGTGTAAGTCCTGGGAGACTTCAAGGAAAGGGAAACCAGCCTTGAGACAAGGACTTGCTTTCCACCTCCAGGCTCTGCCAGCTTTACATCAGAGCGGAGGGAAGATCTGTAAGAGGGTTTGGGTAGAGAACCCAAGCCATGGCAAGAAAAGGCCAAGCACACAAGGTGGTTTAGGGTGGAACCAGAGTTCCTGAGTCCTGCTGATGCCCTCAAGCAGTTTTGAAGCCTACTCTGACTTACTTGGGGTGCCTGATGGGCACTTCCAGCACAAGCTCTGGGGGGATTTCGAAGAGCTCTGGATCGTTCCCGTTGGCTTGGAGGAGCAGAGGCAGGATATCGAAGCGCCCATGAGGTGCCTTCCACCCTTGCTGAATGCAGATCTACAGGCGAAGCAAAGATAAGATTGAGAAGTCCCAGAAGATCACCTGCTCTTCAAGCATTATGGCATGGCACTGAGCAGTGTCTCCTAACAGCATCTCTGCTCAGCTCTTACGGGAGGAGTAATAACCTCCACCTAAGGGAGCTACAACACGGCGTTGCCTGTCACAACCAACCCATGGCCATGTAAGGGGGATTTTGACTGAGAAGGAGCCCAGAACTCCAGGTCCTACTCCAGGTAGGAATTTCTGATTCCCACTGGCCCCAGGTCAGCAGTGGGCATGCATGTCCTCCTGCAACAGGTCCCTCAGCACCACTAAGTGACCAGGCTGCCCAGGGAGGTGGTGGAGTCACCATCCCTGGCTGTGTTTAAGGGCCGTTTAGATGCAGTGCTGAGGGACATGGTGTAGGGGAGGACTTTGTAGAGTAGGGGAGATGGTTGGACTCGATGATCCCAAGGGTCTCTTCCAACCTAGACGATTCTATGATTCTATGATTTCTCAGCAAAAGCAAAAGGAGGTAAGAGTCTTTCGATGCACCTATGGCCAACCCCTTCATGTGTGGAAACCACTTTTGTTCCCGGGAAAATATCCGAGGGTGAGACAAACCCAGCTTCACTGCGCAACGAACCCTACCTGACCCAGCCCCCTCCTCACTCCTGGGGTGGCTGGAGCTTCCCCAATGTCCCCACCAGCCCCATGCCCATGGTGTCTGGGAAGGATGGCTCCAGCCCGTACCTCCGTCAGCTCCACGTTTGCGGGGTCTCCCAGGATGGTGCCATCGGGCTGCTTGTAGCCGGCGTAGCGGATGAGCTGGGCGTTCCAGATGCGGAAGTCGTGCTTGCTGTCCGTCCGCTGCGGGAAGATGGTGATAGCAGATCTGGAAGGAAGAGGCAGTGTTGGTGAACACCAAGGACGTCGCAAGGGCACGGGATGGGGGTTGTCAAAGGACCAGCAAAGGTGCTGCCACCAGCCCTCTGCTTGTGCCCTGGACAAGCCCCAGACATTTGTTATGTTTCCTTCACCAGAAGAAGTCATGGCCAGGTGCACTCCAGCTCTGGTATTTGAGGTGTTTCCAGCTACTCAGCTCCAAGCAGAAGCTGGCTGCTAACATGGGGTTTCAGGTAGATCTGGAGAGCCGAGGCTCCAGCCGAGCTCTACTTTTGATGCAGAACATAGGAAAGGAGAAACAATTGGAAAACCTTCCCTTTGAGGTCCCACAAAGAGCAAGAGATATACTTGGGCCAGCAGGACACCTTCCCCTGATATCATAGAATCATAGAATGGTTAGAGTTGGAAGGGACCTTAAAGATTATCGAGTTCCAACCCCCCTGCCATGGGCAGGGACACCTCCCACCAGACCAGGTTGCTCAAGGTCCTTGTAAACGCTCCCCAGTTCACATGCTGGCTACAACCATCCTATTGTGCAATGGCTGCTGCAGGAGACAACGTCAGCAGGGCCCAGATCTGGGCTGACACACATCCAAAGGCCTTGGGTTATAAACCCTGGTGACCTCATGGTGGTGGCTCACCTGAGATTCCCTTTGTTGGTGGCATATTTGATGTGGTTGCAGATATAATTGAACATCCCATGGGCTGTGGTGCAGTCACGGGCATCAAACACCTGAAACAGTGGAAGCAATTGCGGTGATGCTACAGGATGCTCCAACTCCCAGGGCAGAGCCAAGCAGAAGAAACACAGCACAGGGAAAGCCCTAGAAAGCCTTTACATACTTGATAGGTATGTAAAGCTCCATAATTATGTGTTCCCTGCCTTTACAACACATGGATGTCTAATCCAGCTGCCCTTACTGCTTTGGAGAGGTGAGTCATCTGCTGCTCAGGCAAAAACCTCCTCAATCCAGTGCTTTCAACCTGCTTCTGTTCCTGGTTTATTCACCAACAGCTTTGGTTTCTGCTCTTTGTTGTAGATCAAGACTCAAAGCTGAAATAGGACAGGGATCAGTCAGGCCTGAGAGCCACTGAAAGGTTGGGGACTCATAGAATCATAGCCTGGTTTGGGTTGGAAGGGGCCTTTAAAGGCCATCTAGCCCAACCCTTCCACAATCAGCAGGGACATCTTCAACTAAGTCAGGTTGCTCAGAGCCTTGTCCCACCTGACCTTGAATGTTTCCAGGGGTGGGGCATCTACGAAAGAATGGGGAAACCAGGAAAGAGGGTCAACAGGAGGCTTGAAGACAACATCTTGCAGGAACAACTCCTCCCAAGGTTCAGATAAACCAAAAGAAACAGGAAGAGAAGAGCTGAAGGCTGAGCTGGGAGTGAAGGAGGCCCATACTCCTAGCCCCAAGCTGTATGAAGCAGCCACAAGAATTGCTCAGCCCCAACCTGTGCTCCAGGTTACAGAGGAAGACCTCATCTCCGTACCAAGAAATTCAGATCCTACCCTACACTTCCAGCTACTCAAAAGGGCACTGAGCCAAACCTTCTCCTGCCATAGTATCTCTGTACCAAGGATGAGTGTGTCCTGCTGCCTCTCTCCGGGTAGAGGCAGCATGTAAGGTATCGGAGCAGTATCTGGTTTTGGAGAAACTTCTCCAGAGTGCCAGCTTCCAGCTGGCCCCATTTCAGGCACAGACATCTCAGTTACACCTACCCCACAGATGCTTTTCCAGCTCCTGCTGACTTCCCAGCCTGTGCATCCCCAAAGCTGTCAAGGAGAAGGTGGCTGCCGTGTGCTGAACACAAACTGTACCTGTGCTGCACTTCCCCATGTGTTTGAAGAGCAGGTTTTGCCTCTCCAAAACTCCAGTGCATCCCAGCTGTGCTGGTGCTCACCTGCAGCTTGGACCACTGAATCCTGCCCACGCAGCGGGCCGCGTTTCTCCAGGCGTGCTTGGCTCCATAGATCAGCTCCGTGTCCCGCAGCTGGTAGGTGTCAGTGGCCTCAATCTCCTTGGTCACTTCCTCCAGCCTTTCCATGTGGGCTTTGGAGCCAGATCTGTGTGTGTGGGGAAGGGAGGAGATGGTGGTCACCCACCTGGGTGAAGTGCAGGGCAACCTGCTGCTCTCCACCTGGGCGTGAGCTCATTCTTTCTTAAGCACACGTGTGCACATATAC